AAAGAAAGAAAGAAAGAAAGAAAGAAAGAAAGAAAGAAAGAAAGAAAGAACGAAAGAAAGAAAGAAAGAAAGAAAGAAAGAAAGAAAGAAAGAAATACAGAAAGAAAGAAAGAAAGAAAGAAAGAAAGAAAGAAAGAAAGAAAGAAAGAAAGAAAGAAAGAAAGAAAGAAAGAAAGAAAGAAAGAAAGAAGAAAGAAAGAAAGAAAGAAAGAAAGAAAGAAAGAAAGAAAGAAAGAAAGAAAGAAAGAAAGAAAGAAAGAAAGAAAGAAAGAAAGAAAGAAAGAAAGAAAGAAAGAAAGAAAGAAAGAAAGAAAGAAAGAAAGAAAGAAAGAAAGAAAGAAAGAAAAGAAAGAAAGAAAGCAAGAAAGAAAGAAAGAAAGAAAGAAAGAAAGAAATACATAAAGAAAGACATAAAGAAAGACATAAAGAAAGAAAGAAAGAAAGAAAGAAAGAAAGAAAGAAAGAAAGAAAGAAAGAAAGAAAGAACGGATGACTGAAACAATTTCGACAGTTTCAACAATTCGCCCGTCCAGTCGTCCAGCTTCAGTTTCAGGCATCATCAGTTTCACCATCTTTCAGGGCTGGGCCTTCTACAAGCACCACCGGGAGGAGCAGCTTGGTGAAGCAGATTGTTCGCAGGTTCGGCGCTGGTTGGGGAGTCGAATGCATCGGTGTAGAGCCCGGGTTTGGGAAACCAAAAGGCGTTCTGCCGTGCTTCTTGTTTATCCCTTCCAACCCAGAAACCGCTGGCTGCAAGTTGTGGGAAACTGGCTGCAAGTTCGTGTCAAGTCGACTGAGGTACCTGCAGCGAATGTCCTCGCCGGGATCTTTGACGTGGCTTTCGTTTCTTCTGCTTCTGCAAGTGGCCTCCTTCATTTGGCTGTGCTTCAACAGGACATTTGGTTTGGTACCAACGCCCATCCAGCAGCACCTGGGTTTCTTTGGCACACGCAGAGGAACCGTCAACTAGCTCCGTCTTCAGACTTTTCGTTGAGCGGCAAATGCTGCTCGATGGCTTTTCGTGCAGGAGTCCGCCCCGGGAGCGCGCGGGCCTTGGCTCCAGCTGTGTGGAGCGATGGCTCTGAGTGACGTGGGGGATGGCTGTGTTGAGGGTACGTGGGGTGCCCATTTTTGTGGTTTTCAAGGGAGTACAACAGGGAACCACCATTTTGGGGTGTGTCCTTTTGTACCCCTTCATTTTGGATATTCACCTGAATTTTGGATATGGAAACATCTCAAAAGGTGGAGACGGGCAGCTTCTCAGATAGGGCGGGCTTTGGGCTGCTGCTGCTGGCCCAGCAAAAGGAATGAGTTTGCTTTCTGGACGGGTGGCAAAGTGGCCTTAGCCGAGTTGCAGGCAGTTGTGGGCTTTCTGTGCGCGTTTGGAAGAAAGAGGCAGCTTTGTTGGCAGTGGTTTCTGATCGGAAGCGACCGGAACAAGCACTGAACATGGGATTGCATGCTTTCTTTGGGGTCCTCATGTACCTCATGTTGTATGTTGGCTCCCGTGTTGGAGCGGGACATCAGGCAGAGGGGCCAGTCCAAAAAGCATGGGGGCATGCCGGCCTGTCTACATTTCGAAGCTAACTGATGGCAGCCAGTGTGAGCGGTATTGAGTCTTTGGGGGACAAGAGACACCCGTGTTCTCTCGAAAGGTGGCAATGGTCAGCCGATTCTTGCAACATGCCTCCTTTGAAAAACCCAGCCCAACCCAACCAAATTTAGAGCCGCCCCTTCCAACCCGTTTGCGAATTAACTCGTTGCAATGCCTTCCATCATGGGCCCTGGGGCGGGTAAGGAGGGGGGCTATGCCACCACTTTCAGCCTAGGATAAGCCTGTAAGGCCTTGGCAAGGGGTTAATGAGGCCATATCCCCCCCCCCCCCAACACATTAGGGCACACAAGACCCGCTAAGGGTTCTTTGATTCCAGCCCATGCTAATCCTGAGCGAGGCAAGGAAGATCCCACGCCCGCGCGGCGCCGCGCGCTTGCCGCCACTTTGGTGTGCTCCTGCTCGTGCCTGGCCTTGACGGGGCAGACGCAGGGGCTGGGGCTTGCCTGGGTGGTTTTTTTTCTAAGAAACCAACTACAGGACGTTCTGCAGGCAACCCAAATTTTGGTGGGAATTTGGCTAGTTTCCTGTAGAATTTCCTGTAGCTGGTTTCTATGAGTTTTACATGTCCTTTTTTCGTTGCTTTGAAGCGAGCCTCCTTTTGGGGGTGATGTTTGAGGGGGAAATATCGGGAACCTCAAACCGGGCCTGGGAACCAAACCGGGCCTGTCAACCATACCGTTCTTTGGTTCTTTGGCTTTAGGGCTTTTTTTAAGATCCCTTTTTGGATGAATTGTTTTACTAAACGAGTTGAATAGATACTGGGTTTGTTTTGCAAGGCAATTGCCGCCCAAAGTTGGCAGTCTTTGGACAACTTGGGAGGGACCTTGCAAGACTCACTAGATTTCAACGCAGAAAAACGGGCATTTTGCTCATAGCTCATATCATCGTAGAAACTAAGTGCAGCGGATATGGGAGGAGTTTAATTCAACTAGGCCACGCTTGGTACCTTCCCCATGCCGTTTGCTTCGCCTTCGCCGTCTTTGAGCCGAAGGGGACTCGGGGCCTTGCTTCTCGTGTCTTTGAGGAACCTCCAAAACCAGCGGTGCTCGCTTAGTTTTACATATCAATTACTTCGCTTCGAGCAATCCCCACCCTCCACACTCACGAGCTTACGATAAACAAAGCCCCAAAAGGGGGACCCTCAAAAAGACACCCCTCATGTTTGAGTGGCAACCCCCTTCAGTTGGTCCCCGCGCAGTCGGTTCCCTGCCTAGTTGTTGAATTTCGTGCTTACGGCTCCCCCTGACCGATGGGTATGTGTCGACTCGACCTCGGGTCATGGCAAGAAAATAACTTGTCCGTCCTTGTGCCGTCCCGTTCAGCCCGGCTACCTGCTTGAAACATTGAACAGTGTCGACGCAGTGTTTAACCGCCTTTTCCCAGAGAAGTCCACCAGTCTGGAACCCTTCTTTTCGATCGAGGGCGACTTTTGTCTTGTCCTCCAAACGGGTGGTTCGAAGTCCCAGTCCCGACGACAGGTCCGCCTTCATGGACCTTGCGGCCAAGGGCTGGTCCTCCACAGAGGCGGGGGTTCGGTCACGCAGAGTTCGTGGATGTCAGTTGAGAAGTCTTGAGCAGATTTCGTGACTTCCATTCAGTTGTTGTTGACAGACTGGAAGTCTTAAAACAACGGCCGATATGCGTCCTGGTTTGGTTGATGCCTTTCTATGTAAGCATCATTTGTTGTTGTGAACGTGATGATGCTGGGCAAAACCCTACTCACCGGTCCCAGGCAAGAGAGATCGACGGACCAGGAACAGGGCAAGGGCAATATTTCCAGAAACCGTACCCTGTTCCTTCTTTTGAGAAGGAGGAGGCGACAAGGGAGAGAGCTAAACATTGGGTGAGGGTTGCTCCGAACCTCTACATGCATCCTCAAGGTTGACAATTGGTATTGCTATCCTCCTATTTTCAGGCCACTTGTCAAAGAGCAATGGACACGTGACACGCATTTTATCCCAGGGCAAAGGTGCACGAACCACTGGCGAAGCTCATTCCTTTTTCTGGCAGTGTTGAACAACTCGGCCTTCGGCTTCTCCGGCTGTTGCTCGCAATCTTTCGTTAGTTTTGCATTGGGATGTCCGTACCCTTCGTGGAGTTCGTACCCTTTGTGGCGTCTTTTTATAGATCAGCTCGGCAGATAAATACGGCGTGTGCCCCGCCAAAGCGAAGGGTGCCCCTCTAAAACGGATTGCACTCTCCCTCTTAGTCAACCGTCCGGTAAATGAATCCTAAATTCCAGCCGCCCTCCCGACGTGGATGGTAATGTTGACCCCATATTGATCAACCCCACTTTTTTAGGGGGGTGTCGCTGGATTTAGTGGGGAATCAGACCACTTTTGGAGGCCCCCCCCCCCATGAATTAACTGGGGTTGGTCTGAAAAGCACCCCCTATGAATTAACTGGTTGGTTGATTGATTAATATGGCTGTGGGTCAAAACCAATGGGATCCCATTTTGGGGTAGGTGAATTCACCACCCATTTTAGAACCTATTTGAGTGGTTGGATTGGGATGTTCACTGGGGGTACGATTCGGATTTTGACCCATGGCCATGTTTCCCTTTGGGTGGTCCCTTTACATTTCCTTGTGGTTGCTTTGAAGTGAGCTTTCTTTTCGGGGGTGATGTTTGAGGGGGAACCGTGTAGGGAACCCTCAAACAGGGCCTGGGAACCAATTTCATTTGGGGTCAACAGCTACCAATGAGACCCCAAACCTTCAAACAGCTCAAACGGTTCGCGAGGTCAACGAGACGGGGCGCCCCAGCCTCGGCCTGTCCTCCGCGGTGTTCTGGGTCTCCCTCTGCGCCAACCTGATCTTCCTGGTGCTGATGCCCCGCGGCGTCTAAAAAGAGGGGGGTGTTATCCTCCCAACATGGAAGCTCCCAAGACCCTGTTGAAAGACTTGGCTCCATTTACAGAGGCCAATTGGGGGAGCTTCCATGTTAGTCTGAGGGAGTGTATGAGAGCTGTCTGACCCGTGGAGGAAGCAAGATGTTTGTTCAACACTGCAAGGGGCGGAAACACTTGTGACATGGTTAGGCATCCTGTTCAACCACCAAAAGTAGAATACGGTGTGGTGATACGCACAAGGCGAACAGGCTCAGGATGTTTTGTTGGATATGTCAGAAGCTGAGGACCTGGATACACCACTTCTTTTTTTTTTTTTTGGTGTGGAAAGGGTGTCCTAAACTCCCCCTTGGTGCCATGGGAGAGCAATATGAGGGGTGAATTGCTGACATTCTGCTCCTATGTTCATAATTCAGTTTTAAAGAAGCCCACATGTCTAGTTCTATCACTCTTTGTGCCAAATTTTCGTCGAGTTTCCTCATGGGGCCCCGTTTGAGAGGAAATGCGAGGAGCCTACGGACGGGTCATGGTGAGAGTTGCTTGCTGCCGGACAGTTGCAGTTCTTTGGGGTTTCGTCAGAACCAACCGAAAGGTGGATCCCCCCAAAACAGCCGAGAAGCACCCGTGGCACTTCGGGCAGAATAAGAGGCCAGGGAGTTGAATCTCTAGATGAGAGCAGGTGTGTCCAGGCATCCAAGAGGAGCAAGCTTGTGGGGGAGTGACACCTGCAAGGAATGGTGGACCCCCGTGTCATCTTCTCTCATTCGGTTACGTGTACGCAAACAAGGAAGCATTAGAATGGTACAGTCAGCCTCGCCACTTTGGCTGCATCCAGTGATGTAGTTGAGATTTTCCTCGAGCCTTCATAGCAACTATTGCAATTGTGAATGCGCTGCCAGGCGTTGGGCTACGATCTATGGCTGTCGCAGCTGCTTGGAAGGAACATTTGGGCTGGATGGCAAATCCTCGTTGCAACACCCAGGGGTGTTGCCTGCCTCGAGCAATGTGTTTCAGAAACAGGCCATGGCCTCAGACACAATGCAAGGATGTTTCAGCTTGTCATTTTCCGGGGGAGGCAATGCTTGGGGGCATTTGCAGCTTTCAGCTCGGGGTAGTGGGTAAACATGTTGCTCCAGGTTCCAATGGTTACCAGTTTACCACGTTGGGGCCCTTTTCCCCTTTAGCCAGCTCACTCCGAATGCATTTGGTTTTGCACCATTTGACTTTTTCCTGACATCATGGCGCGGTACCAGTGTGGTCTGCAGAAAACACGTGCCGGTGCATGTCAAAATTTTGACTCGGAATCCCCACACTGGGTTGTTAGCTTGTCCCTCCAGAATGTGGTTTGAATCGGTGGAGGCACGTGTTCGACGTCTCATTCAGCCATTTGTGCATATGTTGCTGTATATGTTATTCCCGTGTATGTCGATGTGTGCGCAAAGCTTGTTGCAGCTAAAAACAATGCGTGGTGTGTACTACATGACGCCTTTTACATCAATCAAGTACTGCATGACATGCACAAAACTTGCCGTGCCTGCTCCATGACGTTGGCGCGTGCATTCTGCGGTTCAGCTACAATACCCCATGTCATGCCATCCCGCTGTGGATGAAAGAAGTCACACACTGAAGGGATCACGCCCCCTCGTGTTGGTGCGGGAGCTCTGCCAGCCGATGGTCGGAGAGAGTTGGCTAAGTGGTTTGCGCCGTTTTTTGCCCCTGTCAGAAAGCCACCAATTTTTATAGGCATGGTCAACTCGATGGGTCATTCCCTCCAGATCCTCGTTTCTTTTTTTTGGAGGGGGTTTCCCTTGAAAAACAACTACCAAAAAGAAGAGTGCCCTTGTTGCCCATGGCCACAGGGGGTAAAAAAAGTCCCTAGAACGGAACTGCGGTGCCATTTTTTAAGATTTCTAGCTGTACCCTCCCCATTCTCTTCAGGCATCATTCTCTTCAAAGAATGGGCCAAAAGGGAAAAATGAGTGGTTTCCAAAGAGAACGATGGGTGAAGAGAATGGGGAATCAAGGGAAATGACGTGCCATTGAAAAAACAACAAAAATGCATGTTTTCGCCTCCAGTGTCTCGAGGGTGCGACGTGCTGATTTTCGTGCCCCTGAACACCACGGCAAACATCATCTTCTCCGTAGCCTCCGGGATGATCTGCCTCTCAGAGACCTGCCCAAAGTTGCCTAGTGGCCCAGTGGGTTGCTTCCTTTAGGCCTCTGAGAGGGCTTGCCTTTTTGGGAAGGTCGTACTTTCACCGGAAACGGATTTTTTGGGGACCTGTGGTTTTTTGGGAAGGGTTCCCATGTAACCTCAACCCACCAACAACAGGATGCCTTTTTTTTTCTCTTTTTTTCGAGTGGCCACTGGGCTACTTCCATGCCTAATGAAAGCTCGACGCGCATTCATGTAGTGGTTGTCTATCTCTTTGCGGCCTCTCAAGGTTGGTACTGATTCATTTCATTAGGCATGGAAGTGAGGTCAGCCCCCCTTCCCGAAAGGAAAGCAGCCTTCCAAAGTGGGCTTGTGCACTTGGTTGCTTGGTGAGTGTACACCCGAAAGGTCGTGGTGATCGATCCAGTCACTTTGTCCACTTTCCGGTCGTAAAGGGCAACCCTGGCACAAACTTTCAACTACAGTCCCTGCAGAAAGGTCCCGCTGAGCTCTCAGGGTCGCGAAGGTTGCCCAATACAGGGAACCCGCACATGGTTCGTTTCCCCTTGGTTTTCTTTTAAACTCATCCTAAACGGGGCGCCAAGCAACAGTGTACACCTTGGCGGAAAGTGGCTGCCCTGTCCGCGATATGGTTGAGGCGAGTTCCTCGGTAGACCTGGGGACTGGATGTTCCATGGCCCTCGCCCCGCTGGGGGGTTCCACGAAGCCACATGGCGGATGTTGTGCGTGTGTCCCCTCCCCCCACCGTCCCCCCCCTCCCCTCCCATCGGCATCCCAGAACTGCCGGGCCACGGACCACGGAAAACCCGGCGTTTCGATCCAGCGGTTTTTTCCAACCTGCCGTGGCGGAGCCCCAACGAGCTCCTTGCAAACGCCCATCTGCGGGTCTGTTGCCTCTTGGTAGCCTTTTTGACAGCCACATGGAAGCCACCAGGGGTTCCATATCCGTTGAGAATCCCTGTGCCACATGGACACCGCCAGGGGTTCGTTCCACGCCTAAGGAGTACAAGTCCGTGAAGTCCTGGCCTGGCCTGGTGACAGCGGGCCTGTCCATGCTTTGCGGCATCTTCATGCTGGTGACCGGCCCGGCAGAGACCATGGCTGCGCCCGGGATTGCGGGGTTGGGGGCGGTTGGGAGCTTGGGTTGGGGGCTTGGCGCCGGATCTTGGTGCACAGAGTGGTTTTGCGTGGCTATCTTGGTGCAGAAGGAAGCTTTTTGCTCTTTTTTTTTGAACTTTGAGCGCGGTCGCTATCTAGTCAGTACAATCCAATCAGTGCCCGGAATCAAGGTCATCCTTGAAGAGCATTTTGTTGCTTCTCCGGGAATGAGGGCATGACCCCGAACTGGAGCTGGTTCTTGGCAAGGAGCTGTCCAGCGGTGCCCATGACACAAGGACTTCTAGCTGGTCTGTTCCTGTCTTTTTGTTTCTCTCCCTGAGATGGGAACTTGTACAGATTTGAGGGGCACAGATGGCCTCTCAAATCAACGGGCCGAAATGCATTCTGCAGGTCTCGCAACCCCAGTTCTTCAAGGCCGTTTTGAAGAAGTCGCGACTTTATGAGCGGCACCATGTCACCCTTCGGTCAGAAGGGAACCACATGGCGACTGAATGGTTGGAACATCCTCACTTGGTGTGACTCGCCTGAAGTCTCAAGGGAAAACCCCCATGAAGAAGCTCTCCGAGAGCCCTTAGGATCCCTTTCCAAAAGCTTCAACTCGTCTTCCGGAAAGGGATTCTGCACTTCCAGAGGTCTCACAATGAGACCCAAGAATGGCAAGTGTTTCCTTTTGGGTTCTCTTCGAAACCAAAAGCGGAGGGTGCCGCAAGGCAACACCCATGTTCTTTACAGCCTCAGTATTTGCATCACCCGCGTGCGAAGCAAGGCGTCCTCAGCTCTCCGATTGGAGCCACTTGGCCGAAAGGTTACCAACCTCTAGGGACTTCGACACTGAGAGACTTCAAGGGCCGAAGGGACAGGCCCTTAGGGCCCACTTGAAATAGGGACCCCTTTGAAAGGTGACACAAAGTGTTGCCGGAATGGGGTTCTTGATAACTGTCATGTGTGTCTCCACATTCCAAGAGGATGCGGCGAGGAAAGATCTCATCGAGACAAAATGTATCAAACTATGAGATAGGCCAAACCAGGATGTTTTGCAACCTCGCAAGCTCATATTGTCAGTCTTCATGCATCAGAGTGTAATGGCATCAATCCACGCATCCTGGAGTCATCTTCGGAGACAGCCCGGCCATTGAGCTGGGGTCTTCCTGTAACCCCGGGTTTGGCGAAAAGCTCTGGGCTTTATGCATTCTGGCTGTCTCTCTGCAAGGGAGATTGTGGTGAAGGAATGGCATTCGAAGGTTCGCTGTGCAACCGAACCGGGAGATGACAGTCCTTTGTTTGGATCCTATGCTGGGTTCCTGACTGTTTGGTGGCCCTGGTGAACATGATTGTAGCACTGCCAGGCGCACTCTGGCAGTCTGGAAGTTATCTCGCCAAGCACAGCTTTGCACTTCCATCATGTCAGAATGTGACTGGTGCGTCCTTTGGATGGCAAGAGCTGCTGATTTCGAATTGACGACTGGCGCGCGGCTCGCGACTCGGTTGCTCCACTTTGGACCAGGCAAGAGAAGAGCAAGGCCAGCGAGAGTCCAAGGCTCGATTGGGAGGGGCAAGGTTGTGAGTAGGCAAGGAGTAATTTTGGGGGAGGTTTTTGATAGTTTTTGAACCTAGGAATGTTTGAACTTCTTGGCTTGCAATGCTTCGGATCCTCCTAGTACTTGCTCCTCCCTGCTATGACATCCTTATCAATTGCAGCCGCGTTGTTTGGCTGTTGCCGGAAAGCTGCTAAAAAGCGCGGCATGCCTTTGGGACAGGCTCCATGCAAAGGCAGCAGGGCTTGTTTTGGCACACAGAGCAAGCTTGGCAAATTATGTATTGGTGGTGAATGAAGGGGGGACAGCTTGAGTTGGAAACTAAGGCTTTGGTCTTGTGACCACAGCATCGGCGCAAAGCCTCCAGGAAAATCCCATAACCTCTTTAACGGAATGCTACTGTGGATGGACGAAATCCTGCACCGCGTCAAACTATGGGAAACCATAACGTTGGCGAAACTCTTAGGTGGTGCGAAATGGATTTCGCAACCATGGAGCCAATGCACAAACCCAAACGAGCCCAGGTTTACACGAATCACTTCAGGAGTTCTTTTTTCCCAAGTAAACAATTCATGGAACCCAAGGAACCGTCATTTTTGGAGGAGTCTCCTGCCGGAACCGCTTTTTGGGTGCATTCATTTGGAGAGGTGCGACTTGGGCCAGTTTGGCTGATTCAAGCTAGGGGCCTGCGCCATACTGCCACCGAGTTGGCGTAAACTCCTCGCTTCACCTGGAGGTTCTATGCTATGGGACACCCCAAATCTTTTTGGGTGCATGCTATCCATTTCTAAAGGTCATGGAGACTCCAGGATATTTGTCATGGGGACATTCTGCCTTTGGGATTTCCGAATGCGGATACGAAATATCTCTTACCGAAAGGGTTCTCCCTTTTCGGACACCTGATACGGGTTCTCCCTAGTTGGTACGGTTTCCCACAGGTACGTAACCCAGCCACAAACCATTTCAAACGGGGTGCTTGTACACGTGCAATTCCTTTCCGGAATCCACCGCTCCCATGGTGGATTCGATTCTATCTGGCACCCATTTTCTTTAGGGTAGTCAAAAAGGGGGGCCTTTTGGTTGCAGTTTCTACGCAAGCCAAAAGGAAACCAAGCATTTTAGGGGACCCCTTTGAGAAACTACCCCTAAAGAGGGTCGTGTTTTGGTGAAACTTGCCAGCATCTCCTCGAAACGGCAGATCCAGCCCGGCGGTGTCGGGGTCAGCCTCGCCGTGCTCCAGCTTCACCAGCAACACGGTGAGAGGACGGGGGACCAACGACTTGGGCAATGGCGCCAAAGGATTTGCCCTCGCCCCACTAACATGGCAACTGACACAGGGTACCCCCAAGAGGAAATCATCTTCCAGGTACCCTCCCACAGATGCTCCCTTCCCAATTGTCCACGCACCTGGAGACGTGGAAGATGAATTTCCTCTAGCCCCTGCGGGTGCTATGTTCGTGCGAGGGAGGGTCATTTTGGAGTTTATGTTTCCTGATCTTGTTCAGGCGAGAACCTTAGAACAGCCTGCTTGCTCGGCCCTTGTGGGTCTTTAATTGGCTTTGTGGGTTTATGGTCGTGGAACATGTTCGGCTTGGGTTGCCACGTTTTGTGGTACTGCTCGCGCCTGCAAATGCCAGTGAACAGCCACGCACACACACACACACACACATACCCACACACGAAAAAACTGCCCGCACGCTGGCCCGCCTGCACGCCCGCACGCACACACGCTCGCAAGCGCGCACTCGCCACACAGAGACCCACAGAGACAGACAGAGCCACAACACACAGAGAAACACAGTGACGGAGACACGCAGAGGCGTGCAGAGACACACAGAGACACACACACACACAGACACAGACACAGACACCACACGCCACCCTCTTCGTTATGGAAGGCGTTCGCTTCGGTGTGTGAAATTGATACCTTCTCCAGCTTTTTACCCGTTTGACTGACATTCAGCCAGCGTTCGGCATGTTTTGAAGCAGCCACAATGCAACATGGATGGCACACGTCTGTGAGATACCAGCACTTTAACATAGACCCTGCATCGGCCGTTTGGCTATGAACTTTATTGAAGAGCACACTTCCAAATAAGTGGTGAACATAAACAATCCCTAGATGATGTCCACGAGAGGGTTCCCAATTAGATTTCACCCCCTCCCCCCCAAAAAAAACAAACAAACCCAGAAACAACTGATGTGGGGGGGCCGAAAGCATGGGAGACACCCACACACTAGGAGTGGTTCCGCGGGAGCGAGCGGTGCCTTGGGTAGCAAGGCGCGTGGCAAACCTTGAGCACTGCTTGTTTACCCCTCTGTGGATTCGGTCTCCACGGAAAGGCATATGTATCTATCATTATATATATATATATAGATATGAGATACACATGCTCAGACCTTTTGGGGGAGAGGAAATGGTACGGTCAGCAAGCCCTAGGCTCATTTGCGCTAAATGTTGGAAGGTGATACCTCCCATTCTTTTCGGGCCCCTCGAAACAGGTATCAACACTGGAAGAGTGTTCATGGTTTTCAATACAAATAGACATAGAACGCAACCCTTCCGCAACTCAAGGTTTGAAACTGATCTGGGGGCATCCCTGCATGTCATGTGTGCAGGCATGATCAAACGCAGACGAAGGCCTTGCACTCCACAGAAAGGGACCAGCAGGGCCCAGTCACCACCTTTGTAAATGGACGCGTTATATTTCCTTTGGTTTGTGTTACATATCACCTCATCATGATTGATGGAGTTTTCTTTGGGTGATGCTGAGATCACTGCGCAACCCTTGTTTCACCATGGCAAGGCTTGGGCTTTGCTTGCCTTTGCCACGGGAAAAGGGAAAAAGAACACAACACTCTCTTTCGCAAAGAGGCAAGCAAACAGCAAGCAAACAACCAAGCGAGCGACCCTTCTGCCATGTCCTGCCCTCAAAGCCTCCAAAACGGTTCTGGGGCTGTGAAGAAAGTCTTACTAGAGCCAAATGAGGCCGACTAAGGCCAAATAGGGCCAACTAAGGTCAAAGGCAAAGAAGCTCAAACGCCCAAGCCAACTAAGACCAAATAGTAAATAAGGTCAAACAAAGGCAAATAAGCTCAAGCGCCCACTTCGCGCCAACGAAGACAGGGATCTTTGGGCCCCGTTTCGCGATGGACGCTCGCTCTTTCGCTTAGAACCCGGAGCCGCCGCTGTCGCCCTGCCAACTGCAGTCCCGGGTCTCGGCCCTGAGCTTCGCCCCTCGACCCTTCGGGGGGGATGCGAGGGGAAGGCGTCTCTGTAGTTCTTATATATGTATATATGTATATATTTAAAGGCTGCTAGTTTAGGTGGTTTTAGCACATATGACCCTTTAGTTTTTTTTCCCTCCCCAATTTTACTTCAGGGAGTTCCAACTAGATTCCTCTTGGAGGCGGTTTTTCGGCATGGCCTCTCCTTGGCCTTCTCGATGGCTAAGCCCTGAAACAGGCTGGGAACTTTGTGAAACGACGATAATCAATCACACTGGGTTCTAGGGGTACCTTCCCCATTCTTTTCAGGAAAAGAAATGGGAATCAACCCCTAGATGGGTTTACTTGAAGTGGCAAAGTTCAGTTTGAGAACTCATGCTGGCGACATGGTTCGGGGCTCTCTGAGCGTTCTGCCGCAGAGAGCCCGAAACTCCCGCTTGAAGCATCACACCCAGCCACTAGCACGAAAACTCTCGCTCAAAACTAGCACAAACCTGATTCGTGATTGATCATGGGATGGAATAGCACAGATAGCAGCGTTTTTGGCGGTAGGCTGGCACACTTGTTTGCCATGGGTCAGCATTTGTCAAGCTCTGGCCAAATCTTGTCGCAAACTTGGACCAGGGTTTTCATTTAAGAGAAGACCAGAAGGACACGGTTGATGGCCCTAGGTTTCGGGTTCTTGAGGTGTTCCCTTTTGAAATGGGGAAGCCCTATTTCCTTTCATGGACTCAGGCGAACCGGGATGACAATGGGTTTGGATGAGTCAACATTGTTTCGGAGATCGAAGGATCCCATTCCGCATCTCCGGGCCGTTTTTTCGCTGTTTTATTCTCTTGCTGGGATACGTGTTTTCTTTGCTTGTTTAGGCGGGTTTTTGTCCTTGGGTGGTGGTGGTCAGCAGTTCATGTACTTTTCTCGTTTAACGCGGGAGCTGGCTGTGTTCGTTCCACTTTTTTGAGTTGTTCTTTTCTTCGTGTGGTGGTTGGGGTGTGTGTGCTTTTTCAACTTTACTGAGAGCTTTTATATATTTTTTGGGGGGAGGGGGGGGGCGGGGGTCGTTTCTGTCTTTCCGCTTCTTGGGGCCTGTGGCCCTTCTTTGCTCTCAAGGGCCGTTGGTCCCCTTGAAACCAGCCCAGGCTTGGGAGCTGGCAACGAACGCAACGAAGGGAATGGTTGAAAGTGACCATAAGTTCCGAGTTCAACGAAGAAGCAGCAGCAGAAGAAGAAGAAAAACAATAAGAAAAGGGAGGAGGAGGAGAAGGAGAAGAGGAGAGATGCAGAAGTAGATGAGGCTCACAATAATATCGGCGAGATTTGTTTGGCCATGCTAAGGCAAGCAAGTATCATAGCATGGAATGGTTGATTGCCTCCACATTGAATGTGGAACTCCATCGACAATGGGTGGTGGCCACACAAACAACAAGCAGAAAGTCTTCATTAAAGGGTCCCCGATCAACATTCATACCCAAATGGTGCAGGATCAAATCGCTCAGCATCAAACCCAAAGTCTGTGCTCTCCTGCAAAGCATGCAGAAAAGGAGAAAGGGTTGAAGCAGCCAAATGCGATCCAATGTGTCCATGAATTTGGCCAGAAGTCCAAGTGGTGTGGGTGTTTGTTATTTTGAGGGTACCAAAAGAACAAATACCACTACGAGGGTTTGTTTGACACATACGCATTGAGCTGAAAGGCTCTTTCCATGGGATTGACATTGTGACCTTTGGAAAAATATCCTCAGGCGCGAACTGGCGCCAGCACGCCTGAGGGCTAAGCCTTTTGACCAGAGCCCATGGTGATGGAACCCGTCAGTTTTGAAGCGTCCACTTGACAGCACTCGATATTCAAAATCCTATCTACGTGCGCCAAATTGCCAAGCCTGGGCTCACCTTTCCATGACATAAACTCTAGCCACGTGTACACTTCGAGCATCTTGGGAAAAGGTAGTGGGTCACCGTACCCCCTTCGTTTCGTACATATAAAAACCCAAGGATTTTAAACACCCCCAAAAAGGAAACTGGGTGTCCTCAAATAACCAGCAAACAGCACCCGGGGTTTGTGGGGTTGCCCTGCGGCTTCTGCCAAAACCCGCCAAACCGGAGCGAGGTCTATTTGAACCGCATCCATCGCCGCGCCGCGAGGGCGCGAAGCGAGAAGACGCCTGGAGATCTCCATTGGGGTTTAGAAAAGGAGGGCCATTTTTTTTCCTATGAAAACAAAAAGAACCATGCATGTGGCGGATCGGCACATTTCAGAATGCGTTCAACATCCAGAATAAGAAACCCAATTGAGCTCCCCTCGTTGGCTTCGGTTCTACCGTTGGAATGTTACAAAGATTGTTTGGCCTCACTGGAATCCCCATCCAAGCGGGCAGGGGGGCAAATGAATCCTAATCGAAAACTGGTGTTAAAGGGTTAAACCCTTGTAAAGAGTCAAACCGGCGGCTGCAGCCATTTCAGGTTGGGACTTCAACGGAATTACCCGGGAGGTTGTGGCGACACATCCAAAAATACGCGGAACCACAAGAGCTGGAATGACCTGTTGGCTGAAAAGCCAGTTCTGGTTTTATGAATAGTACACTGTGTCAAAAGTTTTTCGAGAACGGCCAAAGCGGGCGATCCCTACTTTGGGAAGCACCCACATGGCGCGCCCCACAATTCACTGGAGAGATTGCAATTCACCCGAGGAGTATCCATTGCGGGGACCGAGACGAAGGCAAGGCATCGTGTGCATGAGGGCTTGTGGAGCTGCTCTAGACTGCACAGCGGGGTCTTTCGGCTGTTGAAATGGGGCCGGATCACGGCCCTGATGTGAGACAGGGATGGCCATTCGCGTGGTCGAACGAAGCCTACCATGTCCAGTGCCTCTTAAGGGAACGACCCAAAACTAAAATGGCCATGGTTCAAAACCAATGGTACCATTTTAGTCTATTTTAGTGGGGATTGGGATGTTCACTTGGGGTACGGGGCTTTGACCCACGGCCAAATAGTTCCAGGCCACCAACACAATATTTAATATTCTTGGGGCTGCAAGGAGACGGGCACAGTGCAGCGGGTCTAAGGCCATTAAGCAAGTCTCACAAGAATAAAGCACGCTTCAAAGGGTAACGTCCCCATTCATTCGTTCAAGGAATATCCTCAGAAGGAAGCCCGAGTCAACGTGGGTAGCCCTCAAAAAGAACCGTTCAACGAACGAAAATATTAAATGGGAACCAGCCCTTAGAACCGCGTCAGTTAACTATGGTCACTCCGCACGCGTGGGATTTCCATGGATCCCTTACAGGTTCCAGTTTGGTGAATCGAACGCTTAGCAGTATATTAATACATGTTTTTTTCTCGAAGAAGTAGCCTAAAGGTTTTCCTTCAAAAGCCATCCCAAAGGAGATCTTTCAAAACAGTCCCAAAAAGGGTCCCCTGAACAGCACGCCCATTAGGTGCTTCTTCCCGCAACTGATGACCTTCCCATAAATGGATGCTTGATGCACTGAGGGCAGCAACCAGAAAAGGAAGTCACCCTTTGTGGGTTTTACCCACATGGGCCAATGAGGGAATCACTTCTCTGGACGAAGCACCCTGCTCATCGTGCTACAGGATTCATTGGACTTGAAATGGGCATTTCCTCACAGTGTGGATGGTTTTGAAGTGAAGCAACAGTCAACCTGCTGCTTGGAGGGGACATCAGGATCTTCATCCATGTGATTGAAAGGCACTCACCTCTTTTCCCCTTTTTGCTGTTTTCTGGTTGATCAAACATGTTTGATGTTGGGAGCTTGGAGTTGCAAATACTTTTCTTTGGGTCGTTCCAAAAGTGAGGAAATTGATTGTTGCTTCGCCAGTTTCTGGACTTGTTGCTTGTTTGAAGATCATTTCAAGCAGAGCCTTTGGACTTTCATTTCAGGAGCTAAGTACCGGAGGCCCACAGTGACCATGCCGAGGGTCTCCCAATCACTGGCCAGGTGCGCGTGACGTGGCCGCGCCGCCTGGTATTGAATTCAGGGGCTGTCCCTCGGGTTTTATATGGGTTTCCTTCAAGCATCACAAAAGCTACCGGGGTTGATATGTGGGTGACAGCTGCTGTCACTAATTATCACGAAAGCTAGCGTCAGCAAGCTTGAGTTCCTACTTGCTTTGCAAGTGTTCCAGATGGATGCACCACTGTGTGAGTACATCACATGCAGGCCCCCGCTTGTGTGATTGCAATCACACGCACCCCCCCAACAAGAATCCGCCCCAAGCCAAACATGAACATGCTCTCTGGCACCGTTTGTTTTATGCACGCGCAGGGGCTGGACGCACTTGTTGTTTTTGCCACAGTCCCTTTGCCTGAGCTGGCATGCATGCGTTGGCGCCCTGCAACACGCACCCTGCCACCGCTTGTTTCGCCCACATGCGCTCGCTTTTTGTATATAGGTGGCTGCACGCACATACTTCTTTGCGCGCAGTCCCGCCGCTTGAGCTGGCGTGCCCTTCAGCCCGCCCTTCGTGTAGATGCCCTTGTCCATGAGCCCTCTAAACCCAACAGCGGGTTTACCCGCGTGCTGGCGGCCCGATTTCGTCCTCCTCCGCTTGACGGCTTCGCCTTCCATCTCAGCGAGCATCGCAGTCTCATAGGCCTCGGCGGCGCCTCTGCCCTGCCATTTCGGCTTCCATGGCACCTCCAACCGTGCCATGTTGGGCTCGCAAAGTGGGCCAGGAAACAACTTACGCTGCTATCACGTGGCGAACTGCTGCCCGTTCTTCTACGGTGTCTTCGCGGAAAGAACTGTGCGCGTGTTGCTAGCTTTTGTCCACCCCTCTCTCAAGTTGTGTGCTGCCATTGTGTACTTATTGTTTATTTGGGTGTTCGGCTTGTCCTGCCGTCACAGATGATTTTCTGCTGTTGCCTGTTGTCATCTGTAGGAGGGCTCCTAGCATTGGATTATCAGATTGCAGATGTGCCTTTGACAGTTGCATCGAGGTGAGCAAGTAACTACGATCAACTGTTTAGAGACCTCAGAGCATCGGCATCATCCTCACTGACTTCCTGTTGGTAAGGGTGAACCCTCCTTTCCATATAACCTTCTGTGAACTTGATGTTGTGTGGAAGAAGCAGACAAGCGTCATTGGATTGAGATGCGGCGGTTGGCAAGGATTTGGAAACTCGTGGATCTTGGGGCATGAAGCTATGTGTGCGGAGCTGCTTTCGACACATGCCAATTTTCTGATTTCTCGCTCATGCGTTTGATGAGCGACTGAATGAGGATGGCTTCCAGATCAATCCCGCAGCCTTGCCTCTTTTTTGGAGGTGGCAAATCAACAAAACCATGGACACCCTTGACTTACATAGCCGCACACACACACACAGAGTACTTGGCAAGCAATCTGGTGCGGGCTTTGCTCCCCTCGCAAAGCTCTCGTGGGTTTGGGCGGAAAAAGTTGGTTGCGTTTCCCTTGGTTTCCAATTTATACATTGCACGGGCATGCTGCATGCTTCCACCGGTAGGCAGCGGTGTGACCCGGTCAAAGCGCCCAGTGTCGCGGGTTAGCTTTATCCACCGATAGGAGTTCACGTGGGTTTCTTACCGGCATTTGCGGAGGAATGCTGGGCAAAAACCACTTGGCAAATCCCACTGCCTTCAGCCAAGGGAGCCTTGACACGTCGGACTTCCCAGAGACCGACAGCTCCGAACAATGACAAAATGGGGGAGGGTTGGGGGGGGGGGGGGGAGAAGGTTCGACTATGTCGGGCAAGCAGCCCTCCGACCATCATATCAAACAGTAGAGCACCAGTTGTCTACAATCGGGTCGAATTAGCATCATGTCAACAGCCTTGACAGATTGGGCCCATGTTTGAGGTAGGTCACTGGGCTTTTTTTGAACCTGATACTGTCGGGTGATAAGAATATCCTTGATGGGGCCGGGTGTTGAAAGTTAGGGGCATGTGCGGCAGGTAAGAGCGTCATTAAATCCTTGCAACTCCTGACCTGGTTTTATGTACCTTCTTTTCTTGTGAGGGGTTGGTTGTGACGCCATGTGACGCCTTTTGTTTTGTGGGCGTGCTGGGTTACCTTTCCCATGAAAGAATTTGTTAATGTTGAAACGCATGTGGAAACATGAACTGTGTTTGAAATGCTTGACCATAATGGCATGTGCTTGACCATAATGGCATGTGCCATTTTGGCTCAAGCTTTGCCCTGGGTTCCTTGAACCCAATTTGTGTGAAACAAATTGAGTTTGAACACCTTCGAACTAACCCCGATCAAGCAATGGCTTCCTCGGCAACCTCGGCCACCTCCTTTGAGCTGATTGGAGGAGGTTGAAATGGCCAGCCAGGAGGCCCAGGAAATTCGCACACGCGAGGCGGCAGTGGCGGCCGGCCTGGTTTTGGACGAGCCCGAGGCCCCCCCGTCGGCCTCGGCTACCGACGTGATGAAGGACCTCTCCAGTGCACTGGAGCGTCTCCGTGTGGCGTTTGCCACACCGACTTCCGGCTTGGGTGCCCCTGGCCCCGCCGAGGAGGAGGACAAGGACATGGAAGATGCGGACGTCACGGAGCGGGCCACTCCACCGGAGGAGGCACAGACACCACCCACGAAGAGGCTGAGGGGTTTCGTGGCGGCTTCCCAGAAGACCACGGCTCATGTGAACAAACCGGTCTCCTTGGTGCCGGTTGAGGGCCGACCCGGTTACTTCAAGCTGGTGGACCTCCCAGACCTCTTCCCGGTCCTTCCGGCATCGGCGGCCACTTTGCTGCGGGACGTCACGGTGGAGGAGGCGGTCTCCCTGTTCCACAAGTTTGTCGGGAAGAATCTCACGGAGGACCTGGTGATTCGCATCCTGGAGGCCTATGTCCCGATGAAGATCCAGATCCGGCAGGAGGAGGTCTGGGCCTCGCAGTTCCAGAGGAACAAGGCGTGCATTGGCACCCAGCGTATGCACAGGCTCGATGCAGGCCATTCCGATTACAAGTTCATGTGCAAGGCATGCGGCACGGGGTGGCCAGAGGCAGCCAAGCAGTGCTGGGTCTGCCCAGGCAAGGAGTTCGTCCCCTTCCAGGCACCCTCGGCCACCTATGAGGCGGACGGCATCACCTACAACCTGCTCATCGTGGAGGGCAAGCCGACCTGGATCCAACAGCGGGAAGGGGGAAGCCTGGGTGCCGCTGGCCCCGGTGGTACCCGGGCACAGGCAGACCGCAACCTGGTGGACGGCACGGTCCTGGGGAGACCTCCTCCGAAAACGGACACGGCAGAGGAGATCACCATGGCAGACGTGGTCCCGCTCAACAGGCGCGTGGACATCCGGCAGGAGACCTGTCCATGGAGGCGGACGACGAGGCGTTGAAGGTCCGGGAATGCCAGGAGATCAAGGTCAAGGTGCAGCGGTCCCTGAAGGAGGCGGAGGCTCAGAGCTTCCAGCTCTACCACCCCCAGGTGGACCAGGCGATCCGGAAGAAGGAGGAGCTGCATAAGGCCTTGAGGGAGCATCGGGAACCGACCCCGGAGGAGTCCTCGGCCAGGCGGCGGCACAAGGAGTTGGTCACGGAGGAGATGCTGGACAACGAGATGGCTATCCTGGCGCCTCTCCAGGAGGGCATGCAGTCCCTGCCGTCAGAGGAGGTGGCCAATGAGGGAGCCCGTGCCCTCAGGAAGGTCAACCTGGAGCGATTCAAGGCCAAGCTGCGAGACCAGTACCTGGACGTTGACGCCAGCCAGGCACTGGCTGAGGCGATGGGCTCCATTCAGGAGGCTCAGGCGGCGAACAAGCGCACCCAGGACACCAACCAGGCATGGATGCTCAACCACACTCTCAAGCCCTTGGAAGTGTCGGCGTGGCCGGATGATCTCAGGCAGGCCCTGGAGAGGGGGCTATTCTGCCCCCTGGAGCTGGATGACCCCGAGGACATCCCCCAGTGGGAGACATCAAGGAGAAGTATGTCCCCTACATCAGGAGGCTCAGGGAGTCGCAGAACCCATGGCACCAGGAGGCGCTGCTGGAGGAGATGCCCGATCTGGTGGCACCGGCCCCCAATAAGGGTGCCACTGGCCCCGGGCGGGACCAGCCAACGTCACAGCAGGACCTGAACTCGGAGGAGGGCAAGCTGTCCCTGCTCCTCTGGGCAATGAAGAGGCACCAGGGAGAGCTCCGGATGTTTGGGGGGATCTGGAAGAAGCACGCAAGCGGTGAGATCCCCAAGGGTGCTGACCAGCAGTTCAAGCTCACGCCGGAGGAGCTCCTGGCCCTGGAGCGCAGGACTCACCCACTCACGTGCGAGCGGGACCACATCGACCCAGTCATCCACACGGCCTTGGAGATCAGAGCGCAGGTGAACCGGGGTGAGCGCCCGGCGCCGGAGCAGGTGGTGGGGATCTTCTGGGCGAAAGGTGATGGGGTGTTTTGGACCAGGCAGACGAGAACGTGGGACCTGCCGAGCCTGACGGGGGTGTATGCCCACAGGTTCACCTTCAAGTACATCTACTCGGCCTGGACCACTTTCCCGTTGAAGACGCAACGCCGGGGCCGCAATGCGGAGGGCTCGACCTCGGACAAGTGGATGGGCAACATCCTCCAGATGAGGAAGGAGGCGGTGCCCTTCCTGGAGAGCCTGGGCATCCCCAAGCCGCGCAGCAAGGCGGAATGGAGCTACATCTTCAAGGAGATGGGGACGTTCTTGGCGGCCAAGAATTTCATCGTCAACTGCCCGTTGCCTGTGATGGAGATCCCAGTGGCCCCCGTCCACGACAGTAAGGAGGCGCTGCGCTTCAGGGCGGTCTGCGACGAGCGGATCACCCTCCCGCTGGCATCGCTGAAGGCCTTCGACTCGGTCTACACCAAGTTGGTGGCGGGCCTGAGCAAGTCTTCGATGGTGGAGGTGAAGGTCAACTGGCGCTGCAACGTGGTCCACGACTGGGTCGAGCAGGTCCCGCAGGAGGCGGCGGGGGCCTTGTACGACAGGCTGGGCTACTCCCAGGACCTTATCCGGCAGATGGGTTGCTCCCCCCCCTTGGGTGCGGGGGAGGAGCGGCCAAGGAGGCGGACCCCAAGGCCAAGGTTCTGGGGGGGGCAGACACCACGCTCCGCACACCAGACCAGGGCACTAGGCGATACCCGCCCATCACCACGGCCACGGTCACGGCGGTTGCGGGCCGGAAGTACATCAACAAGCACTTCCCCAAGGAGACGAAGCACGTGTTCTGGGCCTCCGTGGAGTGTGGTTTGGTCTTGCCCAGCATCAGCGCCTGGGAAGTGGTGGGCAAGGAGAAGTTCAAGACCACCGGGGGCTATATGTGCAGATTTTGCAAGGGCTTCTGGAGGGCGAGCCGCGGGGGCACCAGGCTGCTCCAGATCACGGGGTGGCACAAAGACAAGGCCACATGCTTGCAGCTGGTGATGGACGAGCCCCCGGAGCAGCTAATCAGTGGATCCGTGACAGGATGGAGTTCTACAAGAGGGTGGAGCCGACGGAGCCTCCCAGGGACGAGCGGCTCGTCCTGGGCGACGCGAGCACCCCCCGCATGCGCTTCAGCTCCTCGAATGGCCTGGGGGATGTCTCCACTGCCTTGTGGTCGGTCATTTTGAGCAACCCGGAGAAGTCGGGGCTGGCGGCCATCCACTCGGTGGCAAAGGAGGCGATCTTGAACGGTGAGAGCCGCTAGGTCGTGTCTCACAGCCCCTTTGGATGTGGTGTCGTGTGATCTCTTCCCGCCGGGACCGGGGTGCCTTTGGCCCCGTCTCGGGTGGGGGGAGGAGTATGGGTTTCTCCGTTTGGGTTCATCTTTCACCATTGTTTTCCCCCTGTTCAACACGTCACGACAGCCGGATTGCCTCGATCGGGAGGCCACATGCATTGGCTGCCCAAGGACGGGCCATATCAGCCACGGTTCGGAAAAAAAGTGGCTGCGGCTGACTCTTGGTTTCCTGGAGGTCCCCTGGGGGTTTTGGGGAATCCCCCGCCTGGTTGGTCTCCCCCCTCCGTGCTTTTGGGGATTTCCGGGGGTTGACTTTTGGTCTTGTCGGGCTGCGTGTGGCCTGCCTGCTCCATCTACACTCGGCATTCTGCGCGATTGGAACGTGCATGCATTGTGCCGCGGTTGGGTCCCGGCCGTTCGATTGGAGGCTCGAACCCCCCTTTTCCTCATGGCTAGGGTTTCTACCAAGTTTCTTTTGCGCCCGCCTTACACACGTCTTTGGGACCGCATTCCGAGGGTCCTTTGGGACACATTGGCGGATGAGTCCTTCTCCCCGAGACAGACGGACGGGGAGCTGTTGGTCCTGATGTGCCTGCGCCATGGCACGGAGGAGGAGGGGAGGAAGCTGGGCGGGGAGCCGGCAGTCCGCTTCGCACAGCTCCTGGAACTTTCGGGCATTCCGGTAGGGCAAAACGACCAAGTGGTCCCGACGGACTACTTCAACGGCCTGGTGGCGTCGGCGGCGGGCAGGCTTCCCCAGCCTCTGTCCGCGGCGGACCTGGCCGACCTATGGGATAGCCTATGGTTCCTCCTCATGGCGACTGCGGATGGCAAGCCGAGCGAGAACTTTTCCCCGCTGGAGAACGAATGGGACCGCCAGGACCAACTGAGGTGGTTCTCACGAGATGACCCACCACCACTCCAACAACCGGAGCTTCTGAAGTGGAGGCACTGGCGGCCGGGGAAAATCAGGGAAATGGAGCCCACGACCCAGCGAGCGCTGGAACTCCATATGCGCGGGAAATGGGCGGAACGGCTCCTTGCCCACTTCGCCCCTTTTGCGGAGCACATCGCATACATGCAGGACATCCTGGGGGAGGACTTCCGCAAGGAGGCATTGGACCTCTTGGGGGACAGTAGGTTCCGGACACTCAGACAACATTGCCTGGTCTACGAGAGTCTCCGGAAGAGAGGCTTCACAGTGATTCCATGGCAGGAACGACATGTCCGCTCTCTCCTTCACCAGCTCGCCGAAGAGGAGGTCACCCCGTGCAAGTTACGGCAGGTGTGGAACACCCTCAAGTGGTTCTCCAAGACCTTCGGGTTGCTGAAGATAGACGAGCTCCATCGCCTCAAGTCCAAGAAGAGCTCATTGGAAGAGGCGCTCACGGACACGGTCACCAGGCCACAGCGCAAGGCGGTGGTCCCCAGCAAAGAGGTCATATGGGCTCTGGAGGAGGGGGCCGGCTACGATTGCCTGGGTGCCACCGGCCCCGGTACGCAGGAGGCCCCGGGGAGGAACAGACACGAGGTGCTGGACGCTTTCATCCTGGGTTTCGCCCGGTTCCAGGTTGGGTGCAGCGCTCGTTTCAATGACCTCCAGCATGTTCACCCCAAGGACCTTATCCACACCAGCAACACTGTGGAGCTGAAGGCCTGGCAGACCAAGACGGTCTCAGCAGCACGAATCAACCGCAACCCGACCCCTTGATTGCTCCGAAGTACAGCTTCACGGGGATCCCCTGGTGGACTATCTGGGTGGCCTCGGTCAGGCGACTGGTATCCGAGGAGGCATTCCGGGACATGGACTACTTGCTCCCGACGGTGAGCAAAGACTTTGCAGGGCTGATCCCGAGACCTTCCACACCGGAAAGGGCGCTGAGATGGCTCAAGGATGCTATTCTCCGTCGGGGAGTTACCCCGGGGTTGGTGAAGCCGCTGACGTGGCACTCATTCCGAGTGTTCATCCCGGACTGCGCTTTCCAGATGGGGATCCTGCGGGAGCGCCGCATGTACCTAGGCAACTGGCTCACGGAGAGCACAGCAGACGTCTACGTGCGGGAGAACAACGTGGTTGTGGAGATTTGGGGCCAGGTAGCGCAGAAGGTCCCCAACCTGAACCTCGGGCCAGGCAGGGAACGCAGGGAGGACTTGAACCACCCGGACTGGGCGGACCCGTTCCCGCCACCAGCAGTGGACATCACGGACGCAGGACCGGACGGCCGCAAGGACCAAACCGAAAGGGAAGGGGAGGCATCCCCCACAGTACCCTCAGGGAGCGCGCCATCGACTCGCTCATGGTCATTGGTGGAACAGGGACCCGAGGACACACCAGTGAAGGCCAAGGACCTGTTTCCCGCCACCCCGGACCTCCCCCTTCGTGTGGTGGCGGCGGTCAAACGCACAGGCAACGCCGGCCAGTCCAGAATCCACCTGCTCAATGTCGAAGGCACGGCTGTGGGGTGCGGGTGGCGACCAGCGGCTTCTAAGATCCAGGAGCTCTCTGTGCTAGATTACATGACGGAGCAGGAGGCCTATGGCAAGTGCGAGCGTTGCTTCAAGAGGTATGGCTTCCCGGCGGACTGGGCACTGGAGCCTGCGGAGGTCCCCACACTGCAGGAGGACTCAGACGGACTCGGGCTCTGAAACGGATGACTCTGTAGACACCCAGTCGGAGACCGAGGTGGTGGCCCTACCTTTGGCAGCCTAGGTGCCCCCGGCCCTTCGGAAATGGCGGGTGTGCCAGACTGTCCTTCGGAAATGGCGCTATCAGTCTGCACACCCGTTCTTCAGTTTTTGAGAGTTTGAGGTGGGTGGCCCATGGGGCCCACCCAGCCGTTGACATCTGACAGGGGAAGATGAGTCCCTGGCACCAACACATTGCTCGGATAAAAGAGTTATCGCGTGCTTGTGTGGTGCCGTTTGGTTAGCTTGCATACACTTTGTTAATGTTGAAACGCATGTGGAAACATGAACTGTGTTTGAAATGCTTGACCATAATGGCATGTGCCATTTTGGCTCAAGCTTTGCCCTGGGTTCCTTGAACCCAATTTGTGTGAAAAACCCACCCACCCACACCAAGGTAGGAGGTCATGGCGGCCCCGCCCGCCAAACCACCGGAGGAGGCAAAGTTGCAGAAGCCACTGGCGGCCATCCTGGTGGGCAAGGAAATCCCCTGGGCCATCCAGGCGGCTCTGGGCGCATCGGGATACGTCACGGTGGAAGACCTGGCGGATCGCTGGAACACCCCGGCGGCGGCTAGGGACAATGGTCCCCGGGACCTGGGATTCCAGGATGGAGAGAATGGGTTCAACCCAGACCTCGGCCTTCACGGCGATGCGCCTCCTTCAGGCAGTTCGGGTGGCAGCCAACTTGGTCCGGGGGGGCAACCAAGGTGACCACCCGGCGGGCCAGGCGGGCCCGACAAAGGCTCCCTTGGAGGTCCTGTGTGACAGGCGCCAGCTGGAAGATGCTTACGTGGCCACGCATGTGGTGCCGTTTGGTTAGCTTGCATACACAAGCACATTGAAGAGGATGGCCTTCCAACCCCCCCCCCCCCCCGCTTCCATGATTGATGAAAGAAGGTACCCTCCCTCCCACTAACGTGGCACCTGCCAGAGGGTCCCCTCCCACAAATGCTATGTTAGTGGGAGCAGGGGTATGCATTTAAAGCTACTTCCAATGTATTGCCCCCCTGATAGGTAGCGGACAAGGGTGCTTTTGATGGGGGGCGGGACATCGTTATCTTTCTTTCCCTCACTGACTGTTGGTCTTCTTGGAGCCAAGGTCCGTGTGTCGAACGCTCATCCGCCATGCGGGTTTTCGCCATGTCCTGTTTTCTTTCTTTCTCTCCTTTTTGAGGCTAAATCAACCAGCTAAATCATCAAGAACCAAAAGCACGAGCCAGTTCCCGTCACCCGATTTCCCTGCCCTCTCCCAGACTAACATGGAAGCTCCCAGCCCTTCTTGGAAGACTTGGTTCCTTACAGAGGCCTTCTGGCAGCTTCCAGGTTACTTTGAGGGAGTGTAAATCACATGAGGGACTGGCCGAGTCAAATCAAATCCTTGCGCCAGGGCCATGGGACATGTGGCTCGTCCTTTTTTATGGTTTGGACCCCCCAAAATCGGTGGTTTTCCGCTTGCTTTCCCTTTGAACCAACCAACATTTTGGCGCCCTCAAAAAAGACAGTCGCACATGGACCCATGGATTGCAGCCCAAGGTGAGTGAGGGTAGCTTCGCCAGACAGGGAGTTCTGCAAAAGGTTGGGCCACCGACTTACTGGATGTGTCAGCTGACCGGCGACATCAGTGGGCCAACCTAGTCAGCATGCCAATGGAAGAAAAGAAGGTCAGACGCGTGACGACCATGTTTTTTCAGCTAGCACTCCGCCACCTTCCTTCCCTCGGATGAGGAGATCCTCTGGAAGGCTGAGGGCCATCGGATCCGAAAGGGATGCCCGTGAACGGTGCGGCTGTAAGCAAACAGATCATGTTTTTGAAGCGAGGATTTGGGCAGACTCTTTGGGGAACCGGTGATGGTTTTGTAATTGATAGCCCTGGTTGGGGTTTAACCCTGGTTGGGTGGCTGGTTGGTCGATTGGCTGGTTGGTTGGCTGGCTGCCTCCCCAGCATTGCCCGGGCCTGGTTCAGGTGAGTTTTGGGTCACAGCTGAGATCTTATGAGGGCGGGTCTTGGGGGCGGGTTTAGCGTTGACCTTGGGAAGGTTTGGGTTGGCTTGGAGCTGATTTGTGCTGGGTGTGCGGCTCTTTTTTGCAGCAACGTTAAGGTTGCTTTAGAGCGTGGTCACAAACCCAAAACCTGCCCTCATGAAGATCTCAGCAATCCCAAAACTCGCAGCCATGAACTGGGAAACCGAATGCATCGATGGCTGGGCATGCAGGTGGGCCATGTAAAGGCGTGATGGCTTTGTTCAATAGGGCTTGCAGCGATTGCCTTTCTGGGAAATCGTTTTACGGGGTCATGACCCTTACAGCTAAGGTCATTGAATGCACAACCCTTCCTGATTGCCCCTCAGCCTTTGGAGCGTGAGTGTTAGCGTGCATAGGGTCCACAACGGGCTGCTCCGAGCAAAATACATGCCAGGGCACGGCACGCCCTTCCGCCAGGCTCCAAGTTCTCAAAGTTAGTTTTGGGACTCCCCGACTTAGCCAGAGATGGACTTTGATCGTGCAAAATCAAGGTCCTCCCCCTTTTGATTTAGAGTGAAGCACATGTAAAGAGGCCACCTGGTCGCCTATTTACGGCACAGCAAGAGCTTTGCGCAACGTTCGTCCGTTTTAGCGCTGAAACGTCACGCGGCGAGGAGATTGAAGGGAGCTGGGACCACGGCAGTGCAAGACTGGAGAGTGGAGAGTGGTCCCGTTGGCCGGCCGAATCGACATTTCATGTTTCGTGTGAAAGAACTGCTGCAGACAGAATTGACAGTTTGGGAAATTGACGGCCGCACCCAGAATGTCTAAGTTGCTGCCTGAGGGCACCCCCTCTAAGTTTGATCAGTGTGTCTCAGTGTGACCCATCTGAGGAGCCATCTTGGCAGGGTCAAGAGCACTTGTCAAAGTTCACCTGAGTTCACCAGCTGTTGGCAGGGAGCACTTTCTCGTGGCAAAGTGCCGAAGAGAATTCGGAAGACACATAGCGTCCCGCACGCGGCCGGGACGAATTCAGACTCGTTCGAGTCGACTTCCGTTGATAAGTTGGTTGGGAGCCACCCAAATGTCTAAGCTTCTGTAGGTTTCGAACTTGATGTGAAACCCGCAAATCAGACTGTTTTCAGACTACTTTCTGTCTATTTCGGCAATCATTTCTTTTCTGAACATGGTGGGATGGTGGGTTTCTTTGGGTTTCCCTTTGAATACCAACTAAACGGGGGTCCACCATATTCTAGAAACTCCCAAACTCCCATATTATGGAGAGCTGTCCTTTTCCTGCGGCAACTCTGTAGTCACCGGTGAATCTAGTGAGATCCATTGGTCCATGGCTGCCGCTTGTCTCACGTTCCAGCCCCAAAGGGCTGGGGGAAAAAGCATGTTCATGCTGAAACTCATCCGTAGACAGGGTTTCCCCTTTTTCTCAATACCTGATTGATATTGGGGCTGGGCGCCACATAGTACTCAATTCTGAATTTCCCCCCAAAAGCGGGCGGGCAGGTTTTGTCGAGTTACCCTCTATTTGGCCATGGGCCAATTCTTTTTTAGTGAACATCCGATTCAATCCAACCACTAAAATAGGAAGCCTAAAATGGGTGGTGAATTCACCTACCAACCAAAATGGGATCCCACGGTTTTGGCCCACGGGCACTTGAGTCCCGGGAGCGGAAATGCGTCGCTCGGCTCGCGCAACGGGGATTTTTCAGCTCCCAACCGAGGAAAATCAAGCGGGTGGCCACCAAGTGCCACAGACGCAGGTAGCTCCGGAACCAGGAACCCCACTCTCGCCGCTCCTTTGGCTGGTCAAAAATAGGTACCCCAAATGGAACCCACACCTGAGGTCAACATGGACCAACACCTGAGGTCCCTGGTGGTTAAAAGTTTTGACCCATACCCATTTGGGGCCCAAACCTCTGCAGTAACACGCGCCAGAACTTCGAGAAACGGCCAGGGGATCTGACTTGGGACCTGGGAACTTTATGCCAGGGCGGGGAAACCTTCTCCGAACTCAATATGAGATCCAGCGTGGACGCTTGGTTCCTGGTTGCCGTTTTGCAGCTTTTTGGTTTCGCTTGAAAACCATCCACGTAGGACCAGATTGTCCTTTTGGTTTCCTTGTGCTTGCCTTATGGCTTCCTTATGGTTTTATTTTGGTTTCCTTAGGGCTTTCTTCTGGTTTCCTTATGGCTTCCATTTGGTTTTTCTGTTTGTTTTCTTAATCAGATCAACCTCCAGTCTTTCCCGAAGCTGGATCTGGGTAATCCGAAAGCCAGCCAGATTCCGGCCGGCGAAGCCGAGGCTTCCCCGAAAGACTTATCACCAAATGGTTTGTTGAGGGATTGTGGTGGCGATTTGACAGCCATTGCAAGGGCTGGAGTGCTTTTCCTTTTTTACAAGTGCAGGGGTGGCTTCAATTGCGTCTGCAAAAGAATCGAAGGGGAGTGCACCATTATGTGGGGTCGCCTATTTTAGAAGCGTCCCTGCATCATGTCCATGCACGGCACCGAATGTAGAATGGTAGACTGTGCACTATGGAGACAGGTTCCTGGCTCTGGAGTATGCAGGGAATGAGCCACGCCGGTAGATTGCTGCTGGAGCTTGAACGAATGGCATGCTGTCCTCAGCGCCTAAGCAAAGGCAGCGACCAGCGCAGACCGTTTCTGCTAGACGCATTGTGAGTTCTTAGGAAATCTGACCACGACTTATTATAAAGGTTCGCTGTCCTTGGCAGCACTTCCTCCTTGCAGTTTTGCGTTGCCGAGCGTATTTTCTTCAAAAGGAGATTGCTTGAGCTCTAGGGGCAGATACGTTTTGAAACAAGGGGTTGTGCCCACCCTATGCACGTTCTCAGAATTCCAGTCAGCCCGAAACCTAGTAAGATATGGAAGCATCATCCCAACTTGCAATTACATTGTAGCACTGGTCTACTCTGCAGCGAGAGGAAAGCGGCAGTCACGTACAGAGATGGCTCTCGCCACGCCTACCCCGCTCGCTTTGGCTTCAGCTGGGGCTTGAGTCGGCAAAGGTGCAAACAGAGATTTACAGTTGAAGGTGATATCAGAGTGAATGCACAGCAAACTACGCTTGGGTGTTTCCTAGAACTTGGCCCCCCGAGGATGGTTATATAGCTCATGTTCGTTCTATTCACCAGCCTGCCAAGAATGGGTCTGTAGTCTAGGGCACGCACGTTTCTTTCTGGAAACTTCCTTTGCGAAGTCTGCTCTGAGACATGCGCGCCATGCTCCGCCGCGCGGCGCTGTGTCTCCTGAGCCCTGGCTTCCTCCAGCTGAGATCGATGTTGGGGTTTTGCCATCGGGGATGGCGGGGCGCTGGGCAAGTCTCGGACCTTTCCAGGCGGCTGATTTCTGGTTGGTCTCCTTTTGATCCAACAGAGGGTTCTCTAGTTTTGTTGCACCCAGCAATCCAAACTGGAAGACTTCTGGGAAAGCCTGGCTCAGGTCCTTTCGAAGTCAACATTGTTTTAGTGGCTAGCATGCAATCCAGGCCGGTGCTGCCCAGCTTTTTTGTCCCCTTGGTTTCTGTGCACTATTTCATAGACCTTGAATATCAAGGGCCAGACCGTATTCCTCAGGGATGAGCCCGAAGCCCAAACCCAAAGGGGCAACATGGAAGCGACCTTTGGAGATCCCAAGTAAAACGGGGCGCGCCCATTGGCAAAGATTGATCCAGAATCTTCAGGGCTCCTTAAAAAAATACATTTTGCACAGTTGAAACATGGCTTGTTCCGCCAAAATAAAGGGACACCACCATTTACAAGGCAATGCTCAGGTGTATAATGTAAGGATCCCTGATCTTGCCAAGAGTGATGCACGTTTCGGCAAGTTTTGGCTTGTGCTGAGGCTGATCGGGTCGCTTCACTTGTTTTGGCAAACTTTTAGCTTGTAGTTTAGGAGTTCTTTTTTAGTTGCCAACATGAGTTGTAAAGGTGATGGCAAAACAGCAGAGTGCCCTATCTACCTCTCTGTGTGGCCAAGCAAGACGTGTGGAAGTTTGACCTATTCAGGTGCTTGGGGAAAAGTATCAGATTCAGGCAGGGTACTGCGCATCGGGGTCGCCATCGGGAATGACGGCTTTGCTCGATTTTGGCCGAAATGTTCGGCCACAAGGAATCCCTTAGAGGCCAAAAGAGAGGAGTCCCTGAAAGTGCGGCAAAAGACCACTCCTTGCCTCAGTTCAGATGATCTTTAGCTCTTTTGCCGTGTTACGCGTGGTGACTGGATTCCATTTCAATGCCTTTCCTGCTGACCATCTGAGATTTTGTTGGACTCTCTCCACCAAGAAGCGCCTTCTAAGGGTCGATTCCCCATTCTTTTCAACCATCGTTCTTTTTCAGAACCGGATCCGTTTCGGGTTTCCGGAGGTGTTCCCTGGAAAGATTCGGATCCTTGGGTTCAGAACGGAAATGGAAGGTAGCGCTCGAGCCGAATGCCGCTCCGAGGTTGGCGCCTTGCTGGCTCTTCACCGGGCCACTCGCCAGAAACATCCGAAGCAGAACGGCCCGGGCGGCGGAGTACCGGACGGTGGCAGCGCGGAGCCACAGAGCGCGCAGCGCGCTCGGTTTTCGTGGGCCCTTTCAGGTTACCCTCACTAACATGGCACCTGACAGAGGGCTTGAAAAGGAAATTGATCTTCCAGGTCACACAGATGCTATGTTTGTGGGAGGAAGGGTAGGTCCTTAGGTTGCGGGTACTCTCGGTTTGGAGAGCCAAAAGGACAACGATCACTGTCGCGCTTTTGACACATGCCCTGCTCTGGGATTTGCATTCGTGCTTTGTGGAATGAGGCGCAGTGGGAATGCTTGGTTTTGGTTTGGATCACATGTTGGAAGTCATGAGGTCTACTTTGCATAGGCAGGGAGTGCACGCTCATGCGCTGGCTTCCCGCAGGATGAGACCAGACTGGCTTTTCTGGTTTCCCTTGTGACGAGAATCCTTAATCCTCATGCCGGATGGTCGCGCTTTCCCGTTGTAGTGGTGCCCCACCAAAGATTACAGAATGGGATTAGGGAGCTGCTCATCCCCTTTTTGGAGCCCCTAACAGGGGCCACAGCCATGCGCGGTTGTTCTCGGCAAAAAGGAAGCTTCGGATAGTTTTGGAGGGGGAAGCGTAGGAACACCAGCATAGGTAGGGAGGGCTCTCCACTCCTGGACGGTAAACAGCAATTTTAGAAAACCTCAAAGACTTAATCGGCAGTTGGTCATTGAACGCTGGTCCCATGCAGAATCAAATATGCAACTAAAACTTCCACGACCAACTGGCATGTCTTAAGATATATCACATGGACCGATCTGCACCTGTAGCAAGCTTAGTGGGTAAAACGAGCTCACTCATCAGCAAGGTCCCTTACTAAGGATTCCTAAAACATCATCTTGAATTACTCTCCCACCGACTACCAGGTACAGTATGTCGCTTGATGGATCCCGTGCTTCAACTGCGCAGGTTCCGGGAGCCACTGGCCAATTGGGGCGCCTGGTTGTGGAGCAGCTCCTGAGCCAGGAGCGAGCTCAAGGGAGGGAGAAGCAGTTGTCCTAAAGGTCTACCCTCCCACTCATATAGCATTTGTGGAGGGTAGCTGGAAGATCATTTCCTTTTGGAAGGACCCCTTGTCAGGTGCCATGTTAGTGGGAGGAAGGGTAGGTTCCCATTTGATCATAGGTTGTGTTCTCATGTTCTTTTATTTGAGCACAACACGATGACTCACGATGATGCGTTTGTGTGTGGGTGCTGAACCATCTCTCTGACCTGCACTCTGAGCCCACTTGAGCGGATGCGCTATTTTTGGTGGGCGTGCTCCCCAGACAGCCAGCACGCTTATCATTTTTGGTGATGGGGCTTCCATGACCATAAAAAGCGCTTGAGCGGGTGTGGCTGTCATTTTGTTGCAGGTGTCCTTTTGATCATGGAAAACACTCGAACAAGTGTGCTTGTCATATTAGTGGTGGTGTTCTCCTGTCCATGAAAGGCACTTGAGCGGGGGCGTATCATTTCTTCGAGTTGGTGGTGGTGGTCCCCTGGCCATGAAAAACACATTGGAATGTGCTCAAAATGTGATGACAGTCACATGGTGGCGCGCCGCTGTGCCACAACCAACATTTGATCCTGGGTTCCAGCTACGCGTTACCCTCCCAGGTAAGTCGGCCGGTAGCTTGTTCGTGGGTTTACCTTTTGACCCCCTTCTTTGGAAAAATCGTAGGCCTCGACACACTTTTCAAGAAATAAACGGGCCCACTGAGGAGGATCGCATAATCCCCTACGTTTATTCTAGTGGAGCCCCTTTTTTGGAGGGTTCCCTTCATTTCGTTATGCCTCAAACAAATCAACGGCCAGTAATGGCCAGGTCCCCCAGTAGTGCCCTTTTACCCTTGTTTACGAGAGTTCCCTTACTAAAACAGACTACAGAAAGGAGGGTACCCTTTTTCTAACCTCTCTACTGGAGGATCTAGATGTCAACTGGGCGTTTTCGGGCTGGGTCAGGAGCTCTCCGTGCTGGCGCTCACGCGGAACCTCAGCAAAGCGGAGCTCCTGCCGGCCCGGTGCCCGGTTTGGAGGTATGGGGAAAGGGACCAACATGAAAACCAGCAGTCGAGGCACCCCTCTGACACATACTGGCTTCTCAGTAAATTTTAGGTTGAATAACTTTCCGAACTGAACCAGCCAGTTGGTGATGGGGCTCTTAGTGTTGACCCCATACCAATAAACCCCAGCTTATTAATAGGGGGGTGTCCAACTGCGTTTGGTGCGTAATCAGGCCACTTTTGAAGGACAAACAACACCCCGTACCAAATTGACTGGGGTTGATTAATATGGGGTCAACATCATATATACACATACCGGGTTCTCAAGAAATTCTAGGGCATGACCCTCAAACTGAACCAGCCAATTGGACCATCCCCCCAAATCTCTGCGAGTCCTTTCTGAGCAAGTTGTTTCGAAGCTGGTGGCTGTAGTGGCAGCCTCCCAACCGAAGCCGGCAATCCTGCAAAACGACTCTTACGCGTTGCTTGGGTTGCTGTGCGAGCAAGACGTTGATCGCTTGGTGAGTCCCATCAGTTTCTGGGAGGATCTGCAGCCTGAGTGGTCCTTTGACAAGGGAGCCTGCTGTCCAGTGGTTTCTAGCCTCTTGCCTTTTGAGGTTGCTCATGGGAAAGCATCCCCTCTCTTCCCTCGTCGCGTAGGCGTTGCTGGGAAGCTGGCTGGTTGCAAGTGGGGTAGCTCAAAACCAAGCCCAGGCCGATGAGCGCGTGAAGGTGGTGTCCTGGGATCCCAAGGAGGCTGAGGCCCGGGATCGCGTGGTGCCGGATGAGCTGACCCAAAACAACCCCGCCTAAAAGTGAACACCAGGGGCCAAAGGTTTTTTTCATGGCAGCCGGTTGGTGGCTTGAACGGCAAACCTAGAGGAAGCCGTTCTTCAAAGGGAGTGCTTTCATCCGAGAAACAGGGTACGTTCCAACATAGGGGGCCTCGGAATGGTGTTTCCAGCCAAGCCCAAAACAGGTGTCCTCAAAAAAGCACCCTCCCGCTTGAGGTGGGGCTTGGAAACCGGTAAACCCCTCGGTTTCCGTTTTCGGGTTTGAATTGTACCTGGGTTGCTCACCGACTTGAGCCTTAGGGAGCAACCCCAGGGTTTCAGGCGTCTCCTTGGGTGGTTCATACCCCCGGAATCAGGGCGGATGTCAAGAGTCTTGCACAATGCGACCTTTGGCGATACTCATGGCTTGAGACGTTATTTGCGCATTTCTTCAGCTACTCTGGCCGCATGTGGCATGCAATGCGTCCCGGCTTCCAGGGATCCGAACGCTGGAGACAGGGCTGAATCGGGGAGAGGGCAAGAGCCACGGTTGATACCCATACGGAAGGGAACAAGTAAACCATCCGCACTTTGCCATCATTTGCGGCTGCTCTAATTGATTTGTAGGATGGCGGCCTTATGACCTGGTTTGGGCGGGAGCTCTAGGTGTGGTTTTTGGACTGCTATCCAAATTGTACAGAACTTTGGACCCTTAGCACCCACCCCTCCTTTTTCTGAACGGATTGTTTTGCCTGTCTTTAGGCTCTCAATCTGGAGTCGTCTCCCTCAAACCACGAGTGTGACTAGAACGAGGGTCAAGCGCATTTTCCGGAAAACCCCGCGGTTCTAGCCTTTGAGCTTTCTTGTGTCCCGGCTCCCATGTGATGGAACCTCCATCGCCCTGACAACCCTTATTATCAAGATCTAAGGATAAGGATTCCCCCATCCTTTCCGGGATTCTGAGAAAATTGCCAAAGAATCAGGGAATTCGATTGAGCTTAAACAACGAATGGGTGGAAAGACCCGGGAACCCACTTTTTGAACTACAGAACTGGCCCATCCCCACGTTTGTAGAACTTTGGCGAAATCTATCGCGCCACATTTCAGTATGAGACCTCCGGTCAACTCCAGACTTTGGACACACACACACACACACCTTCCCAGCAAATATCCAGCAGCCTCGAGGCAGATGCAGTGTCTGCGCTGGCAGATGCTGATGTCACGCTATGGTGTGCCGAGGTGCGCCTTGCTCCGCTTGGTTCGGAGGGTTTGTCCTGTTCCCGGTTGATTTGCCCATAGTGTGGTGGTGGGTCTATGCATTCTTGGAAGCAGAAACATGGTCTTAGGTCTTGGGCGGGTGGGCGCGACGCAAACGGCAATCCTTTCCCTCTTCATTTCCCTTTTGGTCTCCCTTCGAAAGTGGATGTTCCATCTTTTACAGGCGGAACTTCCTCGTTGCGCCCAATTTGACCGACCTTCTCGGCCGAAAATCCGGCCTCCCCGGCCACCCCCCCAGCCCTCCCGGCCCCTCCCCCCAGGGCCGCGAGGGCGTGGCGGCCATGGGCAAGGCCATGGCGGCCAAAGGAGCTCGGCCCAGCGGCCACTCGCCGCTCAAATCGGGTGGGACGTTGAGGCTCGTCTTGCGATTGGTGCGATAGGCAGGGAATGAGAAATGGAATGACCCATTCAATTTCATGTAAAAAAGAAAGAAAGAAACAACCTAGAGGTCGGTTTCCGTCATTTTACTCCGGACCCTGCCCCACCTTCTATTTTGACCCCAGAGGAAGCCTTGGGATCACTCGGTATAAACCATCCAACTGGTGGTTTCCGAGGGGACCGGACCCCTGGGTTCATTCCCTCCACCCTTGGTCTCTTTGTTCAGGACAAGGGATGTTTAAACATGCTCAACCAAGAGTTGCTTCCATGAAGAAGAAAACCACCAGGGCACCCAAGAAAAGATAGACTCAAGGAGTAAAGGGTGGTTTACAGGGATTGTGAGTTGATTTTTGCCTTAACTCTGGATTTGTGACTGGTTTTGGTGGCGCTTAGGGAAAGTGCCCTCGATTTCCCGCACTTCAGAGTTCCGCTGGGAAACTTTGAGGGGAGAAGGTCATGTTTGCCGATGGCAAGCGAACCCACCGAACACAAGGCGTGAAACGAGCAACACGCCACGACGAAGCTCCTTTACTTGGAACTATTGTGGAATGACGGAAAGCGATCTTTCGGTCGATAGAGGTTCGGGTTAGAATAGAAGGGGCAGGGTCCGGAGTAAAATGACGGACAGCGACCTTTAGATTTTGAATGGAGTGATCCCAAGGCTTCCTCCGGGGGAAATATTTCGCGGCGCCTTGTGGTTGTGAGGTTTTTAGGTTGGTCATTTGGAATCCGGAAATATAGGGAACCCTGCCGTAGCCTGCCCGTAATATGGAATCCAAAGAAGCAGGAAGAGGAATCTCCTTTGCGGGGACCAACGTTTTTAGTCCACGATTCATCAATTGGCATGTTTTCCAAGCGGTTTTGGGGTGTTCCCTTTCACTTGTTATTGTTATTCTTCTTGCGAGGTCAAATTGCAAACCGCCATTCAGACTACTACATTGGAACTGTGTTTCCAAAATAAGAGTTCCCGAGAACCTGGACCCAAAAGGCTAGGTTTCGTTTTCCCCCAAAAGGCGCCAAAGCCACTTGGTGGCCAGTTTGGTGATTGAGGTGCTGGGGGTGGATTGCAGAGAATTGTTTTGCCATATCCGTGCTTGTTTTGTTTGAGGTCTGACCGAGCGCTTGTTGCAAATGATGCAAGGAATGCTGGAGATGGAGATGTTGGCTGGGGATCTTGCTGGTGATGCCAGGGATGCTGGTGATGCGGGCTTTTTGACATGTCAACTGATTTGTAAAGCAAATTCTATTGGAAAAGGAGCTCTCGTGTTGAATTTACACTCTGCATCACTACTTGCATCCCCAGCATCCCCAGCATCCTCAGCATCACCAACAGCATCCGTGTTTTTGGTTTGGCAAGTTGGCAAGGAATCCTAACCAAAATCTAATTTTGAGATTGGTCGTTTTCACTGGGTGACTGCAGTCGCAGGTGTCTGAGTTAGCCGGTAAAGCGGTTGCGACAATCAGGATGCGCGTTGTTTCGGCTCTTTTTTTGCTCTTGGATTCCCTTCGAAGCCACGTTGAGAAGAGGTAGCATATATATATATATATAGCGGAAGGGTTGTCAGATGACTGCTTGCAGACTCAATCAACATGGGCAAAGAAAAGAGCCCTTTGCCGTGGTATCGGGGTGAATTCTTTTTTTGTTTGGCGCTTTTGAGAATCTGTGCGTGCTCTGGTCAGTGCGTTTTAAGGTACCTTACTGGGAAGAATGCCACTCGCAGTTGGTTATCAGACCTCTCTCCACACTATCAAGCCGCCCACATCCTACTCGTGATGTTTTTCAATTGGTTGCGCTGGGGATATGCCTTTGTTCACCCGCTTAGTGCAGCATTTGTCAGCTTTATTTGCAAATTAATGTTGACCCCCCCTCTGAATCAACCCCTGTTTATTAATATGGGGGTGTTCCCCTCCAAAAGTAAATAATCCCCACTAAAACCAGGGACACCCCCATATTAATAAACAGGGGTTGGTTAATAGGGGTTTCCATTAGTTTGGACTCTGACACGCCCAAAGATCTCTTTTTGCCCTCGGCCCCTATTTCCAGCCACATTTCGGAAGTTGACATTCTGGATAAGGCTTTTTGCCGTTTTCGGGATATGGGGGAGACGGTCACCTTATGAACAAAGGGGACCGCTGTTGGCTGTACGGTTGGGCACCAAGAACTGCTTTCCTTCGACCCCTTCAAACAAAAGGCAGGTTGTTGAAACAGTAACGGTTTGCATACGCTTGCTTGGCCGAAACGGACCCTTTCAACGGCGAACGGCACCGGAGTTGTTCTTACAAATTGGATGGTGATGTTATTGCCATGTTTAAGAGATGCATGGCGGTTTTCTAGGAGTCCCTTGTCAGATGGTCTGGACGCTGTAGTAAAGTCTTTGCCGCTTCTGGTGTCCCCAAAGCAACAGCCATATCGGAAGCAGCCAAGGCACTGGTGGCCAGTCTGTTTCGGCGAAGGAGCAGTTGATCTGGAAACGCTGGCCAACATGTTGAGCAAGCTGAACAACCAGCATGTCGAACCATGGAAAAGTGGACCGATGATAAAAGTTAGAACGAACAACTTAGGCGCGCCACGAGTGGTGATGTGCTCCTCAGCCGCTGGGGGCCCGAGACGCCGGTCAAGGATGGAACATTTTTGTAAGGTGAATGTGTCGACGTGGTTTTTCTTGGTCGGTGTGCTTGGAAGGGTGAATGACTGGGTTTGGTTCCCTTTGGCATTCCTTTTCGGTTTGGCTTCTTTTTGGTTTGCTTGTGAAGTCACTTGAGGACCCTGATGAGTTTGGTGCCTTTAGAGGGGGCTCAGACTCGACATGCTGGTTCCACATAGTCCATTTCCACCTCCCGCACAAGACGGCCGGAAACTGCCATCTTAGCACGCGAGACCTATCCTTGTATCACAGTCTTAGTTGTCCCCGTCCGGTTTGACATCCACACTAAAGTGCATGCCCGCCACATTTTGCTGCCAACGCTCTTTGATTCCGTGGTCACTAAGTCAACCCTGACGATCTTTGCACCATTTCCGAGACGTCATCCTTCCGAAGGCGTTCGAATGGGCTCGCGCTTCAAGTTTGGTGAGGCTTGCGGCGCAATGGGAAGACTGCCTGGACAGGTATGTGAGGGGCAGTTGGCAGAAATGAAGGCCCAAACTCCAGCGACATTGTCCGACTCTTTGAACCCTGATCTTTCTTGCTATTGAAACAAGTGCGGCGTAGGGTGGCTTCAATGGCAGCAAACCAGTTTTTGGAGAGATCCCCACCGGTTTTTGACGCATGCCGACTCAACATGAAGCTCGAATTGCGCGGAAGCTCGCTGTGGCCAAGGCACCCCTTGGCCAGAGACGCACCATTTTCCGCCCTTTTTGCGCGGAAGCTAGGCAACAGACCCTTTGCCGTAGGGGCTCCCTTAGGTCCTTTTGAGTCTTGGTATGTTTGCGCTGTTACGTTTTGGTCTGTTGCGGGTTCTCCAAGTCAGAAATTGAGGGGGGGGTTCCCTATGGTGGACACTTAGGGTCTATTTTGCAAAGGGTATTTGTTTTTTAGTGTTTAATTTTTGCAAAGTCGACTCCAGGTGTCCACCATACGGGGGGGTACCCCATCTGCCGAGGGCTGAGTGGGGGGGGTGGCTTTTGGCCGGGAAGGACGCCTCTCGCCGAGGCGGTGACCCGCCCGGTGTGGAGCCGGCGGCAAAAGGAGCAGCTGGCTGGCGCCGCGGACATCCCCATCGTGCGCCTGAACCCCGGCGGGAGCCCAAGAGTCGAAGGATAGGAAGACGCGCGCTTTTCCGACGAAAGGTGGGCTTGCGTGTCTTTTTTTGGGGTTGGTACCCCTTTTTACTTTTAGAGTCGGAGTTGGAGGATAGGAACATAGCTGTCCTTAGGTTCACTTGGCGAAAAAAGATGGGTTCCACTGGTTTAGATGGATTTTATGCCGCAAGGCCACCTCTGGATAAGAAGATTTGAACTTTTCTAAAGTTATAAAGGGAAATGGGAAACGAGAAGGAGCACCACCATTTTGGAGTGCTCCCTAAACAAACATGAAGAGACACACCCACGTGTTCTTTGTCTCCAGAATCGGAAGGGGGCCCATTTTCACTGGGTGTTTTGATGTACCCTTTGGACCCCACTTTGAGGAGAACACCAGGCTTGTCCTAGTTTTGGGCTCACTACAGGCATGTCAACAACCCTCCTATTGCTGCAACAACCTCGCATAGGTTTCCCCGATTGGAAAGCAACCGGAAACCCATGAAAGAAAGTTGTATCTCGCCGTTTCCCCAACCATATCTCAAGTTTTCCCAGCTTTCTGGTGGTCCCAGACAAATTTCGAGAGGGTTGGTCCTAAGTTGGGAGGAGGATCGATCGGATCTCCCCGCGCGTGGGGGGGGGGGGGGGGCGAAGCTGAAAGCTGGGTGCGTGTGTTCGGCAGGTGGTCTCCTGGACCAAAAGCGCGGGGCGGAGCAGGCGCTCCGGGGCTCTGGGGCCAGCTACGCGGTGGTGAGGCCCACAGGCGCGGATGGGCGGTGCTGGGGGGTGGGGGCGGGGTGGGGGGGTGGGGTGGGGGGGTGGGGGGGGGGGGTGGGGGGGTGGGGGGTGGGAGGGGGGGTGAGGTTTCTTCTTGGTTCCAACTTTTCTGGGATGTCTTTTTTTCTTCCTCGAGTTTGTAGAGATGAATCAGAAGCAAAGATCGTGTGTTAGGTTCGAGGCAGCTGAGGTTGTGCTTTCCTTCAACATCGAGCAGCGAAAGGGGTGCCCTTGTCCAGGGGAAACCACTGAGCAAGTCAAAGGGTCATTAAGACTATATTGTTGGCGATGAGAGGGTTCCCTTTGGGGGGGTGATGTTGTAAGGAACCTGTTCGGGCAGTTCAGAGGGGTTGGATCAATGCTTGGGACATTTCAATTGAAACAGTGGGTCTTTTTCAATTGTCTTCTTTGTGTCCCAAGGCGAAAGCACCAAGCACAAAACTTGGTTGGCTGAGACAAAGGCATCCCCCCCTCTTGTGTTGCCTGTGAAAGGACATTCCAGGTTGAACAGGGCCTGTGATGTACTGGACTGGGAAACTTTTGCATGGTCACCGGGCAAGTACAGCTTGAGTCTGGGGTTTTTCAGCATGGCACAGAACCACTTTTGAATTACGCGCATCAACAACAGGTGTAGGCTCACCTTAGGTTGATTTAAACCTTCTTATGCATTTTTTACCCTAAACTTTTTGGGAAAGCAACCCAAAGTTAACTTTTTGTGTGGCAGCCACATAGGTCTACGGATTGACTATCTTGATGTGTCGTTTTAGATGTTGGATATCCAACCGTTTGAAATCATTGGTGTGAAACCATCCGCGGGTGAAACCATCCCCTGACTTTCCAAAGAACAGTTTCCGGGTGAACGCCTCATCCGCGTCGTTCGGCCCCCTTGGAGGTCTGAAGGACGATTGGCCCGCTGGGCGCCCGGTGCTGTCCCAGGGCGACGTGGCGGTGGGCCGCACCTCGCGCCAGGACCTCGCCCAGCTGCGCCTTGGCTTTCGGTTTTCGGTTCGGTGAGGCGACAAATAAGCCACAAGCAAAACCCGGGTAGATGAAGGTTAGTAAGTTGCAGTCACAGCCAGAAATAGTTGCGGGCGCCTTTTCAATTCCTTACATGGTTCTGGGTTCATCATTTTTGTATCAGGTTTTGATTATGACTCAAATGGCTGTGGTTGTCAAAAATCGGGTAACCCCCAAAATGGCTTGCCCTGGCAAGTGGTAAATGGGCATAAAATCCATCTAAACCAGTGGAACCCATCTATTTCTAGCCAAATGGCTGTGGGTCAAAACCCCGTACCCCCAGTGAACATCCCAATCCAACCACTAAAATGGGTGGTGCCCCTACCCCAAACAAATCTTGACTGCTATTGGGTAGGATCTTTAGACTTTAGGTTTTTGGTTGAAATCAAGATGGGTTTTCCACTTTTTGCAGGGGGGGGGGTCGACAGCAACCAAGAAATGAGGCCGGAGGGAAACCAACGAGCGCCCGAAATCCCCCAAGTTGGGGGCATTTTGGGAGGTTCTATTATTCTACTAGCTGGGTTGTAGCATGGGTTGTAGTATGGCCGGCATGAGCCTTGATAATCATGTTGGGAAACCAAACGTGAATGCTGAAATGAGGTTTGGCAGATGAATTGCACTGGGTCTAGATGGCTGAAATAATTTCGTTTAGAAATGATTCGAAACAATGAACAGCGGCTTGGTTAACGGTTGGCATGGGAGTTCCTGATTTCCAGCTTGGAGCCCCTTTGAAGGGAAACGTAGCATGTCCAATATGTTTATGTATGTGTGTATATACATATGTATCACATACACACTAGAGTGGTCTACCCCCACATCAACAGTGTTTAGCAACGAGCATTTTTTTCGTAAACAATAAGTGCACGTTGCCATCGTCCCACAAGCTAAAGTGGTTGACACCCCCAGCATCACCAATGCTTAAGGAAGTGCTCTTCCGCTAACTAAAGATATTTGAAAGTCGGTTGGCGACATCAACATTCTTTACATAGTGAATGAGGACAATTGCACTTTTCGAGCTGGACGTGACTCGCTCTGCCTGCAGCATCACCAGTGTTTCAGTAAAGGAAATGCTCTTTTCTTACTAAAGGTAGATGTCGCGATAGTCTTTGCTTTTCCGCTTCTTAAAAGTACAAGTCGCTCTAGTATGTAGATTAAAGCAGTCCGCGTCAACGTCGGCAAGCCTTGCGTCAACTCGACCCAGGAAGAGGCGGATTGATCTAGTGGCCGGACGTCGACTCAAGTTCCGTTTGAAAAAGAAGTTTGGAGTTTGCGTCGACAGCAGAGATTATGTACTTGAAGAGATGGGGGCTCAATGAGAGCCTACCTGGCGGGGTGGGAACCCAAATGATATATATATATATATATATATATGTAACCCAAGTTATACATATATATATATATATATATGTAGACGGTATATGTACCTTGGGATTTTTGATACTGGCGGACCTGGCTTGAATTTAAAGGGACACCAAAGGGAGCTATTTTTTTGGGACCCCTATTTTGAGAAACATATATACCTGGGTCTTCCGTGGGCACATTTTTCTGGTTTTTCCCGTTTCGAGCAAAAATAGCGCTCATTTCATCCAAAAACGCTCAATTCGAAAGAAACAACTCAATTGGAAAGTGGTTCTGGTGCGTGTCCGCACATTTCCGCTCATTTCCCGCCGATTTCCGCTCATGTCCCGCCGATTTCCGCTCATTTTCCGGGAGACAACTTGCCAAATCATGCCAAATCAAGATTTCCGCTCATTTTTAGTTTTTCCGCTCAAAATCTGAAACGAGCAAAAAAAATGCCCAGAGCCCCCAAAAGTGACCAAATGGCAGACCCAGGTATATATATATATATATACACACCCATATACACACACACACACTCTCACCTTTTTATTTTTTTTGTACGTTTGTATCCATGCTCTGGTCAATACGGGTGGCAACGGCAGCACTTTTTTGGGTACCTATGCACATGCACTATACGTTTTATGCTAGTTTTTTTGGGAGTGTAACAACCGTGATTTGTTCCTATTACCATGTTAGTTTTGGGAGTGAAGCTCCTTTCCTATACACATGCGCTGCACGTTCCATGCTAGTTTTGGGAGTGTAACAGTGGTGATTTTTCCCAAAATGTTCCATGTACCACCAACAAATGGGTGTGTGTCACGACAGGGGAACCCCAACATGCTGGTTTATCTTTCGGTTTCCCTTGTATACCAAGCCTAAAAAGAGTACTCAAAACAGACACGTCCGAGTCATCCAAATGAAGTTTTTGGAGCATAGGGTTCCTTCCAGACGCCATGCTTCCGCTGTTGTTTGAAGCCTCCATGTTGGGCTCTCGTGAAAAAGGGGTGTGTGCCCCAACTAAGCAAAGGCTTCCGACTCTGCAGCTTCTTTTTGAAGTGCTTGATTCTTCATGGGGAGTTGCACTGTGCATTTTGAGTCTTCCATGTGCCATGGTTTCATCCGTTCCATCATTGGCTCAGCAACCTCTCTGCCGTGTTTGCTCTCAGTTTCTGCGCATGTGGAGGGTTGTTAAACATGTGGTCCTTGGTTTGGGACCTGCTCGGTGTCGTTATATGATGCCATTAAGCGCTGACTGCCCAGGAGGGTTCACAATTTCATTCACCGCCCATCTTTCAATTGACGTGCTTTGACGCACATCGCGACCAGTTGATCCATCTGACGCCCATTCCTTTGGTCATCCGGCGGTTGATTTTGACTTGAGCATTTCTTTAACGATGCTGGAAACGGAACACAAGAGGAAGCCGGCCATGATTTGATTCTGCAATTCAAAATGCTAAGTCTCACAAGATGATGGCTGCCAAGCAAGGACATCACGGGTGATGCATGTGTTCTTACGTTTTGCCATACCCGTACGTAACACCTAGCCTGTATGCAACATGCATATTGGTTCCCCGAATGGACCATTCTTTGCCATAGTTCCATAGTTCAGTTGGCCACAACCATCCGAGGCTCGCCAGGATGCTGGCCGCTTGGACGCATTTGGCACACCGGGGTTTTGGGGGACCGGTTTTTTTGGGGTGCCGCACTCGAAGTCACCCAAGGGGTACAGTAGAGGGAACCAGAAGCAGCAGTCAAAAGCATGACTCTAGGTGAGGCCCTCGAAAGCTGCCGTTTACCATAAAATCACCACCGCCCCGAACCCAAAACCATCAGGTCTTTTGACCCCAACCCGTAGGGAGGAAGGCATACCCAGACGAGAGCTTCGCCTTTTCCCAATGACACCATGAGCGACCGTTGCTTGGATCAGATTTCATGGCAGGAGGGTTACTCATCTAAGCAGAAGTGAATCAGAGAGCCGCACAAACACACCAGCCATTGCTTTGCGAGATAGGGCAAAGTTTGATGGACAAATACAGCATGTCCAACATCCAACTTTGAGACAGGAATTTGAAGGGTGAGCCTTGATGTTCAACTGCATACTGAACTTCTTGCATGTAACGGCAGACCCCTCCTCCAAGCCTCTCACTTTCGCAACCACCTTTAGGGTATGGGGTTTTCTTAGTTTGGGCCTGCAACAAATAGGCTGTACGACCCAAAACATTCGTCCCAAGCGAAATCAGGAACCCTTTGGAGCCCTTTGGGTTAGGAACACCATAAAGCTGTCACGCCGGCCCAGTCGGCCACTGGTCTAGAGTAGCCAAGGGGTCAGATCACAATCCGTAAAAGTTTGCATTATGTTTGTTGCCTTTCGAACTTGAGCCACAAGGGATCTGGTAGCCGGAATAAATAACATTTCTAAAGAGGGAATCATGTTAATGGAATACGTTGGGAGTGCTTTCCTTTTCTCTGTCTTGTTTTTTTTTGAAGGGGGGGGGGGGTACCCTTTTTGTTGTTTTGTCTTTGAAAGGGTTCCATATCCCATTTAGGGACAAGCCCACACATTCATAAGGAAGGTCATCAGCCTTTTGGGGATTGTGGACAACTAATGCAAGGCTTTGTAACAAGGGAACCATCTTGACGTAACAAGGGAACCATCTCGACAAATTACAACCAGCCCATCTATGGCAAAACGAGCTACCCATGATGACGGCTCCCTTTTTTGTTTGGGGGGGGGGGATTTCCTTGTTGAGTAATTGTAACATTCCTCTCTTTTTTGGGGGGGAGGGGGGACTTCCTTTTCTTGGCCGGGACACTCCCTCAGGCAAAAATGGAAGCTCCCCCAAAAGGCCTCTGCTTTTTTGGAACCAAGTCTTTCAAAGGGGTCCGTTGGGGAGCTTCCACGTTAGTCTCGGGGAGGGGATTCCGTTGCTGACCCTTTTGTGTAGGTGCGTGAGGTTTGCCTCAGGATGAGCCGAAGGCTACGGGCAAGACCTTCGAGGTGTGGCGAAGCGTGAAATGCACGCGACGGCACGCGACGTGTGGAACCTCAACCAAGTAACTGAAAGGCGGCCAAACCCTTGAAGCAAAAAAGATCGGCCAACTTCTGCGGGGGGGTTGGGGGGGGCAAAAAGAGTTTGGTCCAATTCCCTCCTTTCTGTGACGGCTAAAACTTGAGCTTCTCGTCTAGCGGGAGCCCTGGGCCTGGATTTCCCGCGGGTTCAGACACCCATGTTGGGGATTCCCTTTGAAAACAAACCCGACTATCTTAATTTTCTTTGCTTGTGTTTGAGCCATGATTTGTTTTAACTCCGCGAATACACGGGCTCTCCCTCGAAACAGGGGTCGGGTTGGTTGCAGGCAAAGCCTCCGAAAACGGATCGAAGCCCAAGCTCACATCAAAGGGTTGCCGTCATCAAAGTCACGGTTTGGGGGACGTGTCCGTTGAACCTGGCTGATCTGGGTGTCACTTTTGTGGATGCCGATGGACTCCGGGATGCTTCCAAGCCAAGCCCGGGCAAAGCGCGATGTCCGCTTGTGATTTGACCCTAGGGATCCGTTATGAAGGTTATGAAGGTTCCTGCCTGAAACGCAGGTCCCAGCCTCGCATTTGGCCTAAACTGAAGCGCAGGTGCTTACGATGCCTGGGTACACCAAGCCTGCCGGTTACGACCAGGCGCGGAAAAAGGCTTGGAAAGGCAATGAATCCGTAGGGATGGAGCCAGACGCAACACACTTGTTGGACGGTTAAAGGGAAACAAACACAACAGCAACCGAATTGAGGGTCCAAGTCCTACAAGAACCGCCATGCGCGGGCCATGCAAAGTCTGGTTTCCTTTTACTTTTGCTCTACACCCCAAAAGTGTACCACCAGAAAAACGCAACTCCATATCAAGGGCAGGATTCATCAAGCCCAAGGGCGACCTCAAAATGAACGGTAGACATTACATCCCCATGTCCAACAAAATGCCCCAAATCACACCTTACACCGACCCAGTTCTGAAGCTACCGAGGGCTATCCTTTGCATTGGGCTTTTCCATTGGACCCCTAGCAAACATGTTCAACTCCATGCTGCAAATGCCAGGGGGCTGGTGCAATCGATTGCGCCATCTCGCCATCAAAAGTCAATGACTTTGGTATCCTTTTTTGGGAGGGTTGAACATCACCCTTTGGTCAAGCGTTGATTGAGTTTCTCTTTGTGGCGTTTGGAAGGGACCTGTAAGGAACCCCGTCGGGGAGCAGCTACCTCGGCACTCCCAAAGATGGGTCCCCTGAAAAGCTCAGCCCTCAACCCCGCATCATGGGTATTGACCCCATATGAATCAACCCCAGCTTGTTAAATAGGGGGGGTTGGGGCCAACAGTGGTCTGATTCCCCACTAAACCCAGGTTGACACCCCCCTATTAAGAAACTGCGGTTGATATGGGGTCAGCATTTCCATGAGGCTTTGGTCCAGCACCCCCCCGAGGCCCTTGCGCGCCTGAGGCCAGATGCTCCTTGGCAACAGCGTTACTGATTGTTGTAATTTCACGTACCCGTTGGGGTCTCCAATTCGGCTTTAGTTTTGGGAGTAGACTACTGTGGATGGACGAAATCCTGCACCACCTAAGAAACCCTGGAATGTTGATTCCCCTGTAAATACAAACAAACAATGGTTTCCCATGGTTTCAAAGTGGTGCAGGATTTCAGTATGAAACAGTAGCAGTATCATATTTTTGGGCCAAGGTTTGGTTTGACCAGCGGCCTGGCCTGACTTCGATCTACAGTTCCAGGGCATAATATCCAAGGCGAGTTGATACGCCGCCGTATGAAAGCTGGGGAATGCATTGCTTGATCCGCTTGACGCTGACTCGCTGATTCCTTTTCTCTGACGGGGGCCCTCCATGCGCTCCAAGACTCAGATCCACCTTGTGACCCTTTAAGGCTTGCCCAAGGCATTGAGCGAGTTCAGCGCCAAGTAGTTTATCTTTTCTGCTTGGAGTCTCAACACTCCCACCCGAACACACACGCACACAAATGTGTCAGACAGGAATGGGGTTTGACCGAATCTGATGCAAAAGCCAGCTTTTTGCCGATGCGGATTGCTGTTCTTGAGCAACCGCTTTCCGGAAACTCAAGAGTATGTCAATTGCATGTGTCGGCAACATCGATATTGGGTAGTGACTACCGGATGGTGCCTCCAAATGCTAAGTTTGATGCGTTCCTTTCATCCGAGGATCAGAGGGGTGTTTCCCATATTGACACACTTCTCTCACGATGCGAAGAACACGCAGCATGTTTCAAATCTTGGGAAGGCTAAGGGGAAGGCCCCCTTGAGGGCAAGGCCCCTTTGAGGGGAGGGAGGTTGTACCCGTCTCTAAAGCTGGAAAGGCGCCAAGAGGAACTCTGGTAAGTGGCGAAACAAGCACTAAGACTTGCAGTCTGCTGGTTTCATTTTGACCCAGCCCAATTTGTCGACTTGGCTCTCCATTCTGGTCTATGTTTAGACACACTCAAACGCACAGTTTCCGTATTCACCATCCATGAAGCGCAGAATTCACCGCCCAGAGCTCGGGATCCCACGCCCAAGAGACGCACGCGTCAAAGCGGCTGCGCGCGGCCGGCTTCGCAGTCGGCTGAGTCGGCTCAAGGTCGTCCGGGAAAAAAAACAACAACGCGACCCCATGGGCCTGAGGCCACAAAGACCCGCGGCTTTCCAGCGTAATGAGGGGCTGGAGGCAATGCAGAAGCCGGCTTGAATCTTGCGGGTGGTTTAAAGCTTCAAAAGGAAAACAGTCTCTGTGCTGAATCATGGAGTTAAACCACATTCAGCTTGCTTGCTGATGCAAGGACCTTTTTGTTTTGCGTGTTGCTATCCAGGTCCTTTGTTTTGAACGATTTGTTGTTTGTGTTTGTGCCGAAAAAATCGCTGGTGCCCGACCGCACTGAGTTCCAAGCCGTTGCTTGGCTGATGCTACCGTAACTCGAAACGCCTTCGCCATGTCGCCGCCCGACTCTTTGCAGCGACTGAAAGAGCTTTTCGATTCCTTCGACAAGGCGAAGTCGCCGCAGGTCTCGTGTTCTGCCGAAATGACATCCTGGATCCCCCGCAGGGTCCTGTTTGGACCACCTAAATGTGTCTCTGTTGAGGGTACCCTTTTTGGCGGCTTTAAAGGCCAACCGCCATGTTGGAGGGGTCCACTAGAAGAAGACGCACCCGCCTTGAACCGAAACTGTTTGGGCCCAAAAGTGGGTACGGCGTCATGAACTGAGTCAGCAGGAGTTCCCTCTTTTCGGGAAGTCTCGCAGCAGCCAAGACGCAGCCGTTGGTGGCTTCCTAATTTGGACAATTGGGCCAAAGCGACAAGATCAGACAGCAGGATCGGATCATGTAAGCCGATGTCTCAATGAACTTATGCCCCGAGCAACCGTGGAAGAGCGCCAACTCCGTTTGCACGACGACCCTTGCGGGGAAAAAATGGGGTACGCTACGTGCCAGCAATAAGCCTGTCTGTCAGCAGTCAGCAGAATGCACCGACGGCAACTGTACTGTTCGTAGTTGAAGCACTCACATGCTCTTCAAAGTACGATGAGGAAGCTGACGGGAAGTTGTCAAACACATGGATGTTTTTGCTTTTGTCCAAATGATGGTTTTTGGTTTCCTTTTAAAACTCACCAAAAGCGGGTACCCTCAAAAAAGACAGACCCATATGGATGTTGGAACCTGACACTTGTGGCATGTTTGTGCTTCTTCAATCTGGAGGGGTCCGCAAGGGTTGCAAGGCCGCTAGGGACTGCTATGGAGGACTAGTTTCTTGGTTTGGTTTGGCAAATGGAAGCCCAAAGGCAACCTTAGCACTCTAGGCTTTAGAAATCAAATCTTTCCAAGAGTTTCCTACTACACCCTGCTAACTCACCCTATTCTAGAGCTTCGCCATCATCAGCTGCGCTGGTTGGCTGCAGGGGTTGCTCACCCAACCTCCCTCCCACTCAGCACCCTTCCCACCCTTCCCACCCTTCCCACCCTTCCCACCCTTCCCACCCTTCCCACCCTTCCCACCCTTCCCACCCTTCCCACCCTTCCCACCCTTCCCACCCTTCCCACCCTTCCCACCCTTCCCACCCTTCCCACCCTTCCCACCCTGCCCACCCTGCCCACCCTTCCCACCCTTCCCACCTTCTCACCCACCCACCCAGCCACCACCCACCCTAGGCCTGTGCGCGTGGGCACGCAACCAGAAAGTTCCCCCCGAGCCATCCGAATCACAACCAGAAAGTTCTCCCCGAGCCATCCGAATCACAACCAGAAAGTTCCGCGTGCGTGCGCGCGCGCGTGCGTGCGTGCAAGTTTGTTTTTTTGCGTGCGTGCGTGCTTGCGCGCGGCGCACACCCACAGCCAACCAGACAAAGATGTCATTCCCGGCATCCCTCTCAGCCGCACAGAAACCTGCGGAAAATGAAGAATAATACGGTATTTACGATATTTTCCGCGCTTTGGCGGCGGCCCTGCTTTCGCAGAAACCCGCTCACTTGATCGCAAACATGCCCGCTATGTCCGCCAACTGTCAAAACCTACTCTCAGGGGGCCAATTTTGGAGGGTTGGCACAATGCAGGAGATGCAAGAACCGTCAAGGAATGCTGAGAAGCCCGGATGCTGGCGATGCAGGAATGCTGAGGTTGCTGGTGAAGTTGGCGAGGATGTAGAGGATGTTGGTGGGGATGCTGGCGACAGTCGGGGGCGATTGGGACAGTATTTGCAGTATTTTTGAAGGTTGGGCACTGGATGTCGGGGATGTTTTGGGATCCAAAGGTCTGGGCTGGCCTGTGTCCGGCAGCGGTATACCCTAGGGTTGCCCTTGCACTTCGAGCTCGAAGACACACAGCGCAGCTGGATGTTAGCTGATTTCCAGATAGCACCTTGTTAATTTGGTTTGATATAATTTCCCTGAGTGTATTCTTAGGGTGTTAAAACAAAATCAAACGAATCCATAGATCTTGGACACACCCGCATTTGTGTCCAGGCGAAGGCTGGCAACCTGTCAGTGCAGGAGCTGGCGCACTTTGCAGACGAGGGCAACGAGTTCTTTTGCTGAATTTAAAGGCGAGGGTTCCATTTGGTGCTGAAGGAATGGGTAACTGTTTCCGCCCTCGGTTTAACACCCGCTTGTTCGTTACCCCCTTCCGTTTTTCGCCTGCACACAGGGGCCCCTCTTTGGGGAAATCAACCCCCCCTCAAGTCAACCCGAAGCTGAAGGCCAGAAGGGACGGACCCCCAACATGCCCTGTGCATATTGATTGTTCGCTGTGAACTATGGTAACGGCTATGACTGGTACTATGCGAGCAGTGCTCAAAACCCGCATTGGCCATTTGGGCATATAGCTGGTTTTACTACCTGGTTGTGCTCTGTTTGTATGAAGGCCTATCCAAGCCTAGTAGAGCCAATAGTTATGAGTTATGAGTTATGAGTTTTGGTCGCAACTCATGTAGTTTAGCTCTTGTTTAACAATTAAAAATAAGTGGGACCTTCCGAAAATGAAAGGATCCAACGCATTCGTCCTTGACCCCCCAAAACCTTCCCTGCGTGCCCCATAACCTGATTTAGCTTGCTGGGGTGCCTTGTGGCATCTTTTCTAGGTGGATCTTCAACAAACCAATGCCAATAAAAGGCACATTGTTGTCCCATTCTCATGAGGTGTTTTGCTTTTTATAATTGTACCCCACAACCCATTTTGACTATGTAGGCCCTGCTTCCGAAATGATTTCAAGAGGGTCAGCCAAGTGGGCTGGTGAGGATAATCCCTTGCAAGTCAAGCAACCATAGGCAGGAGAAAGGGCGTTTGGTGATCGATCTGGCTGCAGCACCTTTGGGTGCTGCCCATTTCTTGAGTGGAGATCCTGAAAAGACTTGGAGACATGCTTGGTGTGCACTTTATGAACTGCGGATGCTCTTTGAACTTGCTGCATGCCAAACTTGCGCTCCTGAATGTTAGGATTTCCTGTGCAGGATCCCATTTCAGATGATTCATGTCTGAATTGCGAAACGGGGTCTTAAGTGGAACCAGCTTGCTTGGCACTCCCGCACAGTTGAACGAAGTTCGGGCTGCCACGTGTTGTCAAGGTGTGCATTCTACCCCTGACGCAAGCTTCTTATCCATTTCTGTCCGTAGGATGTGGGGCGCCCAAACTCCAGCAGAGAACCTTCAGGTACCCGGGTGCCACTCTTAGGCTGCGCGCAGAAGGAAGCCGAGTTGGCTTTAGGGAACACCAACAAGAAACAGGGAACCTTTTTTTCTTCTTCCGGTTTCAGGGGGCGGAGGGGTGTTGGAGGGGGTCCCAACATGTTGAAGCCCACCCACCTCAGATGTTTTCTTCTGGAACACAGAAGGTGGTCGCATGATTTTGCTTCTGTAGTGGTCTGGAGGCAAATTCTGAAATTCGCCCAAGGCTTCATGAGTTTCTGGTAGCAGCGGATGTCAACGAGGATGGCGTCATTACCAGGCGCGGTGTGTCA